CCGAAAGCACTACATTAGTGCACACTACTGAATTAAAGTATATACTGTATATACAACCAGGTTAGTAGTATACTACGACCCCAACCCACCCTGCTGCACAATCTCCATCGGCGTCACGCTCCCATGACTAGACGCTGGTATCGACGACGCCGCATTCCTCAGCTGTTCCTCCGTCATCCGTCTGCGCCGCTCCCCCACCTTCCATATCACGTCTTTCAACTCCTGCACCACTTCCCCACCTGGCCCCCACCGCTCAATCTTGGACGCATGCTCATCAGTCCTAACCCCCACACCCCCGCTCTTTCGGTGTGCCCTTGTAAGCTTTATCCGCTCCTCCCTCGTCATCTTCGATCGCTCACGCGTGAACGCCGGCAAGTTCCCCGTCTCAGCTTCAAACACCTGCTCAATGCCAGGTGGAGGCAAATGATGCGATGATGCTACGAGCAGCAGAGGGGACGACGCATCATCTACATCGAACATCTCTCCGGATGGTGAGATTACCGTAAGCCCAATGTCCTCGTTCTGCGCGTCCATGCCTGGTGATGCTTCATCGGGCTTGTCAGAGTCATCGCTGCCCATGTCGAGAGCCAAGGTGGGTAGGTCATCTGGTTCCTCTGGGGAGGGGCTTGGCGGGAGTATGATGTTCGTGAGCCTCTCCCGGCCGCGCTCACACTCCCGTAAGGCAAGACCAATCTCGCGCCGCAGACGTTCGTAAGCCAGAAGAGCAGGGTGACTAGGAAGCTCCCCAATGGAGGGCGTCAACGACTGTAGAGAATGCTCGAAAGGTGTCTCTTCTTTCAGCGAGGTCACACATTGCTCGAGATGGTCTCGTGCGTCGTTGAGAGCGGAAGAGATAGCATCGACGTGGGCTGCAAACCGTGTAAGGTCACTGGGCAGTGGCGCAAAGGAGTTGATTTGTGAGATTGAGTGTGAAAGAGGGCGAGTGGGGAGTGGAGGCGATGGTAGTGAAGAGGCAACTTGTAGGTCGGATGACGAGTCTGACGCAGCCACGTCCTCCAATTGTTGTTCCTGTTCCTGTTCCTCCACCTCGTCCAGAACTTCAGTAAGTCTCGAGGAGGCATCGACTAATGTTGTCGTAAGGAGGCCCATGAGTGAACGCACGTCCTCCCAGTAAGCATCATCCTCGTCCCCGTCGAAACGAAGAGCTAATAAATGAGAACATGCGTATCGTTTCGAAGCAAGCGCGCTCTGAAGTGACTGCTTCAAAGAGGAAAAAGAGAGCGGATGCCGGCTTGTTTGCATACTCGTGTATCTCGAGGCAAGGGACATTGTTGAAAGGTGCCTCGAGTCAGAGTTACTCCTCGATAATGATACAGCGGAATTTCGGGGTGGCGTCCCAAATTTGCTCATACCCCGACTGTGATGCTTTCGGCGTAGATCAAGAGCAGTGGCTCCAAAACAAGTATCCTCACCCTCTGGTAGCAATGAAGCCCCGGGGTGAGTGTCGTCCTCCTCAACCGCATCAAGAACTGGTTGTTGAGCTGATGGGCTCGTGGGCGCGCTCACACTACTTCTTCGTGATGGTGACGCAGCACCAAGCAGTGTGCTAAGATCTGATCTCCGCTTTTCTCTCCTCTTAGCAATGTGGGACATAGGACTTCCCGCTTGTGCAAGAGCAGAGTAGGACCCATTCCATGTGGACCTCTTGTGATCGCGGACGGAAGTAAAGTTGTCCTGTTGCCGAGATCCAGGCAGAGAAAGCGGCCGGTGATTATCGCTATTCAGAGAGAACGTGAGTTTCATGGGTGATTGTGGGGCATACATCTCCGAAAGCTGCGCAAGCTCGGATGGAGATACAATAGCTGAAAGTAGTTGACGAACGTTGTCGCATTGAGTTTGGGTCGTGAGTAGGGAAGTTGATAGTGCCACCCTAAGTGACGAAAAAGTCATTATTGGGGAGGATAGTCCGTGAAAGATACTGTAAAGGGCCCGGTCAGGACACGCATTTTGATGATGTCATATCAATTACCTTCGCTCTTCATTTTCTAGGGTATCAAGGGTATCTTGGACAACGGCATCCCACACCTTGCCCGCTGTGATTAAATTTTGGAGTGCTTCCAGAGACTGCAAAAGGAGCGTTAAGTTCATTGCGTATAGATTGCAATTGGGAGGCTCACAGGTGTGATGATGTCAGGTTTAGAGTGTAGATCCAATCGATGAACGTGCATATAATACAGTGTGCTAACAAGCAACAGAACAAACAAGGCGTAAAATCGAGCGCTGAGCGCTGCAACAGCAAGAGTAATGAAAAGTGTTACGGGCCATACATGTGGTTCGGGTTCGGCGGGTATTGTTAGGGAAATTTGATCAGTAGCAGTGCTTTCGGCCCCGCTGGTACTTCTGCTGTGATTGCTCGCGAGTCTGCCAGGGATATGGGGTGAAAACGAACGGCGGTGTGGATGAGGGACGGGAGTAGTTGCGAAACCCGGAGATAGGAGGGAGGATGTGATGACACCATACTTGAAGCGCTCAGCAAAAGCTTGCGTGCGCTTCGAAATGCGGTCAGAAGTGAAGAGAGAGCTGAGGAACTTCATGACATCGCAGGTGAGTGAAGAGAGATGGATTGACCGAGGATATAAAAATAATATATGCGAGTTCAGGAACAGTGTTATGACTACGAAGAGTAAACATACCTGAAGCGCGCCGAAAATAACGAAACAGATTTTTTCGACTTGTGCACTGTACTTGAAGACTGCTGGCGACTCCGTGAATGAGTGCTGGAGCATTGAAAAAAGTGGCCAGCTTCCAGGCATTTGCTCGGGAGCTTCACCCGAATCTGCGGCAAAGTAAGGATGAGCAGTAATCTAAAAGATGGTTAGCAACTGCACCTGTCAAATACTCTTCTAATGGATGTCCGTCATAGTAAGGCTGGGCCATGAGCTGAAGTTGAGGCGTTGAGTAACGATCGGTTGGCGATATGAGCACTGGTTTTCGTGATGCGTTCGTGAAGAAAAAACCGGTTATTAGGTGAAAAGAAAGGACAACTCCAATGAACTAGGATAATGGCGTATGATAGTGTGCAATTGCGTCCTTAGCTATAATGCCCAGTCAGTTTGACTCCGAGGGGACAAGTTGAGAAGCCGTACTGCTATTTGCTTACCTAATCTTCCATTGTGTTACCAAGTTAGCATGTTGCCATGTTGCCACTCCTCAAGATCAGCCTACAGAATGAATACTGGGAGAAGCAGCATGTCCTCCTTGAGTTGTTCATATCACTGAAATTCTATAGCTATCCAATACCTTCTCCTTCGCTTAGTTATACCATCCGTGACGACTGCAATCCCTAGCAGCCAGGTGCGGCCCTCAGACTCATGTTTGCTTATATGTTCGATGTTCAGTCTGCTCGTATGGAACCACCTGCTGCTGCAAAATAGGACAGGCTCCACCGCTGCGGTTCTCGCCTTCTTCGCGTGTCGTGGCGGAAACACTAGCTTTTCACATGATCGGTGAGCGCTAGCGCTCGAGTGTTAATAGAATCTCTCCAGCGCGGAACCGCACGCCAGGTGCACCCCCAACACGACCATTGGGCTCCGCTAGGCAGATTAGAGCACCAGGTGCACTGCACTCTATCGTGATGACACGAACGTCATTTCTTTCCAAACGAGAAATCGATGACCAACTCCGACCGCACTATGTTCACATTCAGCAGCCCGAACATCACATGAGTTACCGGATCTACATAAATCCTCAGAAGTTCATAACAGATGATAAAATTGGCACTTTCGAGTAGCTGTCCAGAACACGCGGCTGTCTTGAAACCAATACTCGTGGAGGCAACGAAGTGTCGTTCAAAGCCCTCGATTTACCGTCGAAGCTAGTTCCTCTTGCAATGATATCCAAAAAGTGTATCTCTAACAACATAATGATCTCAGAAGTCCTGTGCCATCGGAATAGCACTCTAGCGTGCGTTCCTCATGCTCGGATGAAAGCGAGCTGGCAGGCGCACGGGGATGATTCTCACTTCCTTTTCCCTCGGCGTCGGCGAGCCCCATTAGCTCATGGTCCCATACTTGAAACACTCAGAAAAACTAACGACGACGACCCTGTTCCGAGGATTTGACGTTTCCGACAACATGTCTTTTTTGTTCCGCCATCGCCTCGCAAATTGCGCATATCGAGTTAGATGCTGCCAGTTGGTGCCAAGATGGATAAAATTGAGTTCGCGGGCTTAAGTAAGATCGATTCGGTGCCGATTTGAATGACCTTCCGACGGATCTAGGAATGTGTATGGGCAGGAGGCTGTGAGATTGACGTTTTGGGTTGAATACACCGCCCCAGAGGGCCTACAAGCTTGTGGGTGTTCTCTGGGATTGGACATCAAATGTTGTTCAACCCTGACTCATACAGGGACCTGCAGCGCATCGCTTACACCAGCATAGCACAGGGGTTCGCGGGCGACGAAATACCCGGTAGGGATCACAACCTTTCAATTTCGGAGAACGTCAGATGCTAGCCCTTCACATATTATCCGGCAAAAGAAGGCCGAGTGCGTTGAAACTTGAGAGGCACGTTTCCGTCCCCTCTTGAGCACGATGTGAGTGTACTTGGTCTCAAAGCCTTCCTACATACAGACCACACTAGGCACTGACAGAATTCAAAAGAAAATGTAGACAGACAGAAGCCTAAATCTCAGTGATAGCAACCCCCGATAATTGGCCTGGAAGTTTGGACTTCGCTAAGAGCCTGGGATTTAATATTCATGTTCAACCCTGAAGTCGCTGACGTGTGGTGTAACATACAGGGGCTGGTAGAGGCTGGTCCTGTTGTAATGGAGAGTACATACTGTCAGTCTTTGTCGGCACAGCCATCGAACTCTGGAGGATGACATTGCCGACGGTGGCCTTTAATATTTCCGACCACGAGGTTCAGCGGGGCACAGACTTTGATCCTTTACAGGACGACAGCAACACTATGATACTAATGTGTACAATGTATCGTATACATTCGAACACTATATGTCTACTCTTGAGACAAGCACTTGTGGGGAATACAAATTAAATATAGGGACACGGAGGTAAGTTCTGCATCTACAATATATAAAACAGCTAGTCTGATCTCTTTGTGTATGTCTTTGATAACATGCAATCACTTACATGGAATTCAGTTCACATTTCCTGATTCCACCTAAAGCACTCTGCCACCCTCTGGGTCATCAAGGCCATCTTCAGGTGACGAGCAGCATTCGTCTAGTTCAAATGCTTCAAGTTGTCGGTCTATCTCACGGCTGAGATCGTGTGTCGCATAGGTACGCGTTGGAAGACTTTTCAGGTTCAGAACCACGCGCTGACCGGCCACTGAAAGTAATGGGCCCGAAAACCTATATGCAATTAATTCACATGAAGTGACGAGGTCAATTTGATGACCAACGCACCCTTTGGGCAGGAAAGTGTATGGAGTCTGTCTCCTGTTATTCAGGAAGAAGAAATATGTCGTGAATAAGAAAGACTGACGTTCGCGTATACAGTCCTAAATATAACATGAGCAGATGCAATGAGTTAAGAGTTCGAGCGAGTCTCACCAGGAGGCGAAGATCATGGCATTGTTAAACATACTAAACTGGTTCTTGTTGTCGGAAATGTGAGATATTATCGTCTTATACACTCACAATAAAAAACATGGTTGCTAATTAGTTAAGGTTAATTATAGATGGGACTCTCCAGATCCGCATGAGCATGCTCACCATCTCGAACAAGTAATCGGAGGAGGCTGGAGGGGTAGAGACTCTGAAATTCCCTAGAGTATCTCCACAGACTTCGCGCTGTCAAGACAAAAGTTACTGCATCGAGAATAAAGCTTCATGATTTTCAGTACGCCCTGCGAAACACGGAACACAGCATGCTAACCTTCCGAGATAGCTGAGCCACTAGCGTTGTAATAGGGCCAACGAGTTTTCCGTCAATACACCGACTTGAAATTATATAGTTACCAACTAACCATATATTCTTTAAAGTGACAGTCGATTAGTTCGCAGACAAGGTAAAATGACAATCACACACTTGGCATCGCTGATGCGCAGATCTCGACTAAGTCGAGGTACTGATACTCCTCATCTGCCCGAGCGCAACTACATCAGAGAACAAAAAAATGGAAAACAAGGAGGTGCCCTACGAGTATCATGTATTGAACCGAGTGTCGTTATGCCCAGCAAAGCAAGGACGTAGAACACATAGCTTCCGACCATAATTTTTATGATGCTCTTCCGAGTCCCCCAGATGGCCCACGCACGTATGAGCACAAGTACTGAATATTAACTCTTAGTACAAGAAACCATTAAAATGAGGTACACGCACGATGAATCGACTCTGAAGATAGCACCATAAAGTATTAGTGACGATGGCAAACCTATGGCAAAACTAGCCCATCCTAAGGTCAATGAATGTCACTACTCGTGAAACTGCAACATACTAATTCGGAATCATGTGCGAGGAAGCCAGCCTCTTCCAACCGAATAGCAGTCTGCCCAACCAGGTTTGCATATCGGTTGATGAGGAACATGACTTTCACGATTGTCCAAGGGGCATTCCAAATGTACCGGATCTTGAACCAACGTTATATTTTCAATATTATACATGTCAAGCAGCGAACTCACTTCATCATGAAAGGTGAGAAGGTAATCATAGATTAGCACAGTGTGGCCAGTTGCAGAGAGTGCTCTCAACGAAAATGTGAGAAAAAAGGATGACGCAAGAGACGGCGACTTACTTTCGCACCCAGATGTCGTAAAAGAAGTCGGACTGATGGAAACATAAGCAAATGAACACCTAGCAGTATTTTAGATAATGATGAAGGCCCAGCAATGTCAAGAGACCCAGTGGAGACCCGTTGAGTTATATATACATTTACACTATACAGAGGCATGCGAAGTCTCGATGTCACGACTAACGACTCGGAATTCCGAGTCGAACCTGACGTGAGTCTGTATAATGATAGCAGGTGCCTCAATTGTGCTGCCAGTGCCTGGCGAGCCTGCCAGAGGTATCGGTAAACGCTGAGATTTTCGAGACCAGTCACTGCAGTGTTGCCAAGGATGCATGAGTCTTTCCAGCAATTTCACAGTCGAGTTGCTGCCATAGTGTACAGATCGGGGAGAGTCGCCCTGAAGATGTTTACACACCCCGTCAAAAAGTTAAAGGCTAGCAAGCGAGTGGTGTCCGAAAAAACCTGTTACTAATCAGATAAGATAGGTTCCCAGTTGATATAGTGCAAGTTCAAGTTGCTAACATGGGATTAGACTGAACGCGTTTTCGCCTGCGTAGAGCAGGAAAAACCACAGGTACTTTGAAGACATTGTAAAGCCTTTGAATCAATTTATAATGATTATCTGATATAGATAAATCAAAGAGATGGTCCGACGGAAGGCACCGTTGGGGTGCATGTGCAGACCCTTGCTGCGGATCACGGCACACCTTCCTAATGCGTAAAATGATACATACTTATTATATCTGAGCCACCCTGGCCCACCCAGCTGTACATGTAAGCTATCGCCATGATTACGATCTACGAATAACGACGTCAGTCTTCTTTCGCAGTGCTCGAATTGCTGACCTACATATAAACGTTTTGCGTCCCGGTCACGTGACTCATCACGTACGCGCTTGTTCATCAGTTCTGTTGGAAACGTCGTGTTAGTACCCACAAAGGTCCTTTCTCTCAGCATATTGTTGATTGTGTTCGAGTCGTGCCTTGATCTGAGACGTTTGACTGGCACCGACACTCCAATTTTTTGGTTTCCACAACTAGCGAGTAACAGATGGCGCTATTACTGAGCAAAACACAACCGGTTAAGTACAAAGAGTCATCAGTGAAGATAAAATTGCTTGATTATGAACGTTCCCACCCACCATGTCTAAATCCGATGCAGGAGCGCTATCCCGACACCCCCTGCGCGAACCTCACTGGATCCGTAACGGGAAGGACTGCAAGGGAAACCAAGGCCAGACCTCTATAGCGGGAGGCTACGGCTCTATCTATGCAGGACCGACTACCACACGCCGCAGGACTACCGACTACGAGCCAGGAGTCCAGGACTCCTGCTCCTGCGCCAGCGCCAGGACCCCTACCACTCCCGACCCGATCTGTCCTGCCAGAGCGCCCCGCTACACCGGAATGATGGGAACTGTGCTGGTACAAGGCATCGCAAGGGTGGAAAAAGTCGGTCGGAAATTAGAGTTACTTTGCGCTGATTCAGGACCTCCTGATAACGCGCCGTGGTAGCGTGGTTGCAGAGGGCCGCGAAACTACCACGACGGGAAAGATGACGGGTCGCACCGAACATCATCCTGCCAGTGAGGGTCGCAAAGGGCAACACGAGGGCCGTGCCGAACAGCATCACGAGGGTTGTGCACGAATGTGCGATGCCGTCACTCAGCATGACTCGAGCTCGATTATCTGGTGGATCGAACTACTCACAATCTGTCAATGGTGGAACGGGCACGACTGCGAGGAGATCCCAAGGCAAAATCTCTATGGCGAGAGGCTATGGCTCTCTATCGGTGAGGACCGACTACGACGCTGCGCGAGACTACCGACTGCGAGCCGCCGAGCCAGGACCTCCAGACCACCCTGATGATTACAGTGGATCAACAATGATTTTGGTCAGGCGTGCGTGTGAGGTCTGACCTAGGCGGTTCATTGGTGTTTCTGGGCAAGTAATAATGGAATACCAGCGATCTCACATATACTGTTTGTATACTGTCAATATTTTTTAGTGGTATAAAAGCATGGTAGACTGGTCCGCGACCATCGGATTACCATTATACAGAAGATTGCAGAACTACAGAAGAGTTACAAGGCAGGCTAGCTACTCATGAGTCCATCACTAGTACATACATACACCCAGTCGTAGATAGTCACCACGATTGAAGGATACACCTGATACAGATACAGAATATAGACAGATATTTAGAAGGGGCATAGGAAACGCAAAGGAAATTCTCAAACAAAGGCGAGCACATTGCAATGGCCCATGTTCGATCGACTTCCAAAAAAACATCTTGGTACAGAACAACAGCCTATAACAGACGGTTACCAAGTCAACCTTGAAACCATATTTCCAATACTCGCCTACTCCTGCACAACTTCCATCTCTACTACGTCTTCCATCTCTTCCACATTATCCAGACCTGGAGAGCCCGCCTCAGCAAATGCTTGAAGTTGCCGGTCCACTTCACGACTGAGATCGCGGGTTGTGTAGGAACGCGTTTGAAGACCTCGAAGGTTCAGGACTAGGCGCTGGCCAACTACTGAAAGTAACGGAGTCGCGAACCTACATGCGATATCTTGACTGAATGTGATGGGGTCGTATTATAGCTAAACTCACCCTTTACCAAGGAAATATTTTGGATTCTGTAAATAAGTGAGAATAAAGAACGAGGGTTCGCTATGAATAAGGAACACTGACGTTCCCGAATGCAGTCCTGGACATCATAAGCCGATAGAACGGGTAAAGAGTATGAGAGAGTCTCACCAAGAAGTGACGGTCAATGCATTACTGAATATACTAGCCTATTCATGTTGTCAGCAACAAGACACATCATGCAGGTTTTTCATGCTCACGATGAAAAACATGGTCGCTGTATAATCATGGTTAATTGTGGACGAAGTGCTCCATCAAAGCACGCTCACCGTCTCGAAAAAGTATATGGAGGAGAGTAGATGGGTAGAGTCGCTGAAATTCCCTAGAGTATATCCGAAGACTTCGCATCGTCAAGACGAAGAGGACTGTATCGAGGATGAAGCTTGATTGATGATTTTTAGTAAGCGCGGGTATGCAGAATAGAACATCCTAACCTTCCGACATAAATCAACCACTAGCGTTATAATGTCAATGGAACGTCCCTCAATGTCTCAAACGCGATGTAAAAGAAACAAACCACATATTCTGTCAAGTAGCAGACTATTAATATGCTGCAAGAATCAAATAACAATCACCTACTAGGCATTTTGGCTGTGCAAACATGAATCACGTCGAGGAACTCAAACTGAGCTATCGAAGCGCAACAATTGTTACAAATAAAAATAAAAACGGTGCAAAGTGACCCACTATTATCGTAGTGTAAATTCGACGCTGAGCCAGCCAACAGCATAATGATGTAGCCCACGTAACTCCATCCGAGGATGTTCGCTACACGCTTTCGAGTTCCCCAGATAGCCCATGCACGCACGAGTACGAGGACTGAGGAAAATCAAAACCCTTAAGGCGTGCAACGATTATCGAGCAGACGTACGTACTGTGGATCGACTCGGTGGATACAAACATAAAGCAAGTGGTAAAGATTGCGAAGCGTTGACAGAACTGGCACGAAATCAGTCACTCGATAGATGTCATGTCTACTCAGGAAATAGCAACATACCTTTTGAGAATTATGGGCGAGGATACCAGCCTCTTCTAGCCGGATGGCCGTCTGTCCAATAAGGTTCCCATACCGGCTCAGAAGAAACAGGATTTTGACATATGTCCAGGGGGCGTTCCAGATGTAAACGAACTGGAACCAAGGGTATGTATTGCGAACATTGATATTATGCACAGCACCCAATAAACTCACTTCTTCTCTGAAAGTTAGGAGGTAGTCGTAGACTAGTAGCGTATGGCCTGCTGCAGAGAATGACCTAGACAACATCAGATGAAAATCCAAAGATGTCGTACAATATATAGACATACCTCCGCACCCAGAGGTCTTCCATGAACTGGGGGGATAACGACATGGTCGAAACAGCTACAGCGGTAAGACAACGACGAACGGCTGTTGCAAACAGACCTGGTATAAAGATCTAAGACCTGGCACACTTTAATAGGGTCCCAGACAAGCACGAGCAATTCCGGCTCTCAACCTTCACTGGCATGGGCAACCAACGTAATATCATTATGTAGGGGAGAAACGAAGTTTGAACCCAACCTGAGAGGGTGGAACAATGGCAGAACCTTGGTAAGCGACAAGACTGATAAAAATCGACAGTGCTCCAGTGTCGAGTAAAACACATATCATCAGACACTAGCAGTCCCCGCAGCGTAGACCACAAATGCATATGATTGGAGAGGGTCGCCCTGAAGACATTAGGACAAGCTATGTAGCAATGCGAAGTGTTTGGTAGGAGCATATCATTTACGTCAGCGCTCAAATTGAGTGAAGACATTTTTTCGTATGATCTGGGAGGTTCCATTAGAGTGATGTCGAACAGTGTGTCAGGCCCAACGCGCAGTACTTGTGTCCACCAGTGAACGCATTTGAATTAGAAGGCCAGGCGCTTGCACACTAAACGTCCTACAGACCACGCGTAAGGAAGAGCGGTCCGGAAAGTAATCAAAAATAACAATACAGGCAGCAAAACTGAGAAAAGCTCATGGTGAGCAGTACCATGGTAAGAAATAGGTATCGACGAGGAGAGGCTCGTTAACCGGCGAGTGAAAGCACATTCAAGCATTGAATGATCCTTCACAATGGGTAAGGGGTGGCGCAGGGCAGTCGGACAGCGCGCGAGAGGGTAAAAGTGTGTACGTGACCGGTTTTGGGCGGGACCTGATTATCACATAAACACTGGCAGGCCAGCATGCAGAGAAATATAAGGGAACTAAAGGGCAACAATAAGACAAAGTAAGTGACAGATGACGGGGTGACAGTACAGTTCGAAGACCGTACGTAGAAAGCAGGAACATGAATAAATAGAGTTGGATTCGATTGTGGCGGCGTTTAGATACCATCATAGGCATCGCCTTCTTCGTACACGGTGTATACGGTATCGGGCCGCTGGGCATTAGAGATGTCTCGCCTGCGGGACGCTGGGACCGGCTCAGGTGTAGACGCCGTACTAGCAGCAGCAAAAGGATCGCCAACGTGAACGGGTGACGGTGCACGAAGCGCAGCATCATGCGTGGGATAGGTTTCTTCCGCTGCTTCATCATCAAAGGGGCTAGGCAATGAAGATTCTGATGGCTGAGGTGGAACCATATGTAGGTCACTGCCCAGCTGACGGGATATATCGGCATATTGGGCAGCCTGGAATGGAGTTACACTGGAACGATCGAGATTAACATAGTGAGCCTGAGGATCGTTAGGTATGGGGTATCCTGCATCAGATGGTTGACGAGATAGGTATGCCGCGCTGGACGGTTGCCTGGTGAGGTGACTATGATCACCGTGAGGGGCATGCGGCATCGCCATCTGAGGATGTAAGGTATCACTGTAGGTAGCTTGTTGACCATAACCACCGTAATAGTTTTGATAATTGTGCTGAGCGTTGATGGCAGGGGATGCGTTGTGACGTTCAATCATGGTCGGTGGCCGGGGGTTGAAGGATGGTTCGGGATCATCCACAAGAATGGCAGACTGACGTTTGAAGGCTGAAGCACTCCATTCGTCTTCATCAGACTGGCGTTTGCGGCGCTAAGATTAAAATGAGAAGACGAAACGGATCTTCAAAAATGTGACATACGATGCACCACATGATGAGGAATCCCAGTATAGCCAAACCAACAAGACAGCCAGCGATACCTCCTACGACTGCAGTGGTGTTAATGGAACCTGAAGAGCCAGCAGTCGAAGAAGGAGTTGCGGATGCGATGGTTCCGGTACTAATGACGATATGAGTTGGTGATGCGAGCTGGGAGGTAGTATACAAAGTGGCTGCTGCTGGAGGGGTCTACTGGATGGTCAATAGTCTGTATGGGTGAAAAAAGGTTAGATACTGACCGTGGACAGCGCAATTTGTGGGGCTAAAGGTGAAGAAGTAGACAAAGTAGAAGTGCTCGAGGAGGGGGTGCCTGAAGATACGGTTAATGAAGAGGTGGTTGAAGAAGAGGACGTAGTAGGGGTAGTGGAAAGGGAGGTTTGTTGGGTAGAAGTAGCTACAGGGGTGGTGGTGGGGGTGGTGGGGGTGGTAATGGTTGGAGCTGAAGTAGGGCTGGGTGCTAAATATTTTGTGAGCTCATTTCCATTGAATTGCAAATACTGTAAGTGAGCTCACTGTCAGAATTCTGTGCGGCTGAGGTCTGTGCACTACTAGTACTAGCAGCAGAAGTCAAGGCAACCGAAGGAAGACTTGGGCTGAGACGAGCGGCCAAGTGCATGTGGTAACGCCTTTCCAATTCCTGATCTGCATACATGATTAGTATTGGTTTTTGGCCGTGTTTTTGTAAAGAATGAAAGTGCAAAAGAATGAAATGATCCTGCAAGAGGATGCTAACGAAGACGTCCGACGACGAGGAATGAAAACGTTAGTCACACACAATCATTGTAGTCACACAGTCACACAGTCACACAGGCCCCATCAAAGCCCATCAATCGCTGCAACGGGGTCAAGGTCTTGCAAGTACCTACAAGTTCTTGCGTCAAGTGCACCAGGTAAACAATTTTTGAGCAATTAACCAGTTGTGATACGCGTCCTTTCACAGCGGCATCCGTTCTGTTCAAGCTGACCCAACTGGCCGCTACTACTAGGCTGCCAGGCCAGTGCCTGTCTGCCAGCGCTTATTTATTGATTATGAATGTCGATCTTAGGGAAGTTCATACTGGTAACGAGGTTAGGACACACGGTATTTCCGGTTTCCAACCTGAAGCTTCACCCTTCCTGGTCACCCAGAAGTCCTAATTTCGTTATAAACTTCAAGGTTCGGCTTTAAGCAATTCTTTTCGCCACACTCCCTGCTATCGCATGTTCATCACATGCCACACCGTCTGTCTCTCTCTTTTTATCTGCTGCGCACCGTGACTCTGGTAGTTTCCGCTCAACAGCAAGTCGTCCTTGGGAGTACCAATCCAGATATTGTCTACGTTCCTCCACTATGCAATGTTTCAAATACAGGATGCTCTAGTGCATGGCAGTGAGCCTTTCATCCCTACCACGAACTGGGAGTCGTTAACTCGTACAAGGCAAATATATATTGACTGTCCTAGCACTAATGGAACACCGGTAATTGTTACTACTACAACTGGCCCAATACCACAATCCGGGAACTTGGTACCCCAGTTGTTTTTGACCTTTAGAGGTGTGTCGCATTTCATTTCATCAATTGACGACTGTGCTCATGCTATGCAGCATCAACGATATATCTGCGCACATCTCCCTTTTCCAACGCGACCGTCAATTTCTCCATAACCGCTGATCCGAGCGGCGTTACAATTACAAATCAGGTCAATACTAACATCGACCAGCTTATCATCGCCGATAACCTGCCCGAGTCACAGACGTCGACATTAGGCATTACATTCCTCCAAGGACTTTCTCCCACCCGTTTCGACGTCGAGTCGATCACGCTCAACGTCACAAATAGCAGGTAAGCACCCTCTTGTCTTTGTCAGAGAGTACGCCAAATACCGCGATCTATTCGTCTGTGCAATAGTGCGACCTCCTCTTATCTTCCAACACTATCATTACCCACATCCAGTCTTCCTCCGAGTCTTTCGCCCTCCTCAACGAGCACAGCAAATTCGACTACCAGCCAGCGAACAGGCATTATCATCGGTGCGACTGTAGGCGGGGTACTTGGCTCTTTGGCCATATCGATAGCCAGTTTTTGTGTCTATTGGAGGTGGCGAAGGCGACGGATTTGGCGGTCGGAGGTAGATGTAGGAATATATCCAATGAGACCACGGACGACAAGGACTCGGTGATTGTGATACATCGTATACCTTATATCGGGACTTCGTATTTTGGTATAAACACTGGACACCTTATTTAACATACTGTAATTTATCGTATAACTGAACACTGCAGACTGCGAAATGAGCTGAAGCGACTTTCGAAAGCTGAGTATATGAGCGCACGGTTTTGGTCGGACACAGCCGTCGCAGTACAGCGAGACAAGATCAGTGACAATACATATCTATCCGCAATCCCAATCATAGACCACAACCACATCTTGTGCACCGTTCCAGGATGGACTCAGAAGCACCGCTCGTAGTTGACAACGGCACGGGTGTAAGTCTCAATTTGAGCTCTTCTTGACGCGCTGAATCATCTCAATCCCACCCGCAGTTCGTCAAAGTAGGCTACGCAGGATCGAACTTCCCAGAGCATGGTGCGTAAGCCCCACAAAAGCACACATATATTCCAAGTTAATTAATCCAAACATCCAGTATTCCCATCCGTCGTAGGCCGCCCCATCTTGCGCGCAGAGGAGCGCGTGGGCTCCGCAGTGATCAAAGATATCATGGTGGGCGACGAAGCCGCCGAGAACCGTAATTATCTCCAAGTTACGCAACCCATGGAACACGGTATAGTGCGCAACTGGGAAGACATGAAGCACCTCTGGGATTACACTTTCGACGAGAAACTCAAGGTCGATCCGCGTGGCCGTAAAGTGCTACTCACGGAGCCACCTATGAACCCTAAAGTCAACCGGCAGAAGATGGTGCAGGTGATGTTTGAGGAGTATGGCTTCCAGGGGGTATATGTAGCGATCCAGGCTGTGTTGACGCTGTATGCGCAAGGTGAGATCTGCCCTATTCTGTATGATGGCTGGGTGCTGACTGTTGGTCGAGTACAGGTTTAACAACAGGCGTAGTCGTCGACTCGGGTGATGGAGTCACGCACATCGTACCTGTATACGACGGATTTGCTCTCCCTCATCTCACTCGACGCTTGGATATCGCAGGTCGAGATGTCACGCGGTACTTGATCAAACTGTTGCTTATGCGTGGTTATGCGTTCAATCGCACTGCTGATTTCGAGACTGTACGCGAAATCAAGGAGAAACTTTGCTATGTGAGGTGAACGTTTCGATGGTCTGTATTACTTCATGCGATTGAAATATGGAACTACAGCTACGATCTTGACCTCGACCAGAAATTATCAGAAGAGACGACGGTGCTTGTGGAGAACTACACGGTATCTCAACTCTGTCGTCCATCGTCGTATTGCTGAGGCCCGTTACTACAGCTTCCCGATGGCCGAATGATCAAAGTGGGCTCAGAGCGCTTCGAAGCTCCAGAATGCATGTTCCAGCCACATCTCGTGGACATCGATCAACCTGGTGTAGCAGGTGGGTGAACCTCTCATCTCTCCAGTGACACCCATCTCACTCTTCCACCCAGAAATGCTTTTCCAAACCATTCAAAATGCAGCACTTGACACCCGATCGGAATTGTACAAGCACATCGTCCTCTCAGGCGGGTCAAGCATGTATCCAGGCCTCCCAAGCCGACTGGAGAAAGAAATGAAACAGCTGTATCTTACCCGTGTGCTGAATGGCGATCCAACACGGTTGAACGTATGTCTTTCGTACTTCTTGTTCTCCCCTTTCACCGTCACTCACATGTTCTACGCCTCTCCCAGAAATTCAAAATCCGTATCGAAGACCCTCCTCGTCGGAAACACATGGTGTTCCTTGGCGGTGCTGTCCTCGCTGATATCATGAAGAACCGTGCAGAATTCTGGATATCAAGAGAAGAGTGGTTTGAGCAGGGTATTCGGTCTCTGGATAAGCTAGGACGTGGAGAGAATTAACCAACGATTATGATAACTTACGACGGACAGGTAGTTTCAATGATGGATCAAGCACAGTTCGTTGGCTGTTATGTATTCTAATGGGAAATGAAAAATAACTGCCCCATGGCTGAGTTGGTCACAGCGTCCGACTGTTAAGCGCAATCGGAAGGTCGTGAGTTCGAGCCTCACTGGGGCAGATTGTTTTGTCACTTTTAGTACAATGAGCTGCAACTGCTCCTCTTTTTCGCCGCAGCTCAAATCATTTTCATTATGATGACGTGGTAGAGATGATTACGATGTGGCAGGAATGTCTACAGTAGTGACATACCAACAAAGCAAACAAGAATCATGCATTCAAGAATAAGTTATCTTCGTAACTAGGGGTAACATGTAACAAGTCTTTTTGCTGCAAGTCTTCTACAAGTTATAAACAAACCAGGCACTTTTATCGCCCAGGCCTTTGGGTTCTTCCTCAGGAGTGCTAAACTGCCGTCTGTCGGCCTTTAAGCGGTTCTGGTGCCAAAAGTACGCCAAGGTGGTGCAAGAGAGTATTACCATGCCCACTGACATGATGATGAAGGTGATCGTAGCTTTTTTATAGTCGGGTGCAGGAGACAAGGAGCCTAAAAGCCAGGTGGCCAGGATACCACCGGAGTTGGTCATGATAAATGCGATAGCGACAGAAGTTGCCCGTCTGACGTGTGGTGCACTGTTGTTCGCTACCCATGTGATAACCGGCGGAGCGCCGCAGTACGACCCACTGATAGTCAGGAAGAGTGATCCATAACGTACATGATTTGATTTGCTCGCTGGCAATCATCAGATGACTTGTCAAGACAGGCGCTGGCAAACCCACCATAGAACATGATGAATCCGACAAGGTTACAAGTCGAGAAGAAGATAAGAATGAAGCCACGGCATTTGTACCGATCCGAAATCACTGCAGTGATCATCGAGACTGAAAACGTAATAGTTGGCGTCTCGTTCACTGACTGAAAGTATGAACTCACCCACAAACGCAACCGCAAAGGGCGGTGCGCTCATCAGCTGTGCTTTATTGCCGGTGTAACCCAGACCAGCGACGATCGTGGGCTCAAAGCTAGAGTTAACAGGTATTAATATGAATAAACTTGTGAGTGCCGTGGACCTACTAAGCGAGGCCATACAATGTTGTACCTGAAGCGAAGTTCACTTGAGTATACCGATCTCCAGCGAGGCACACTTACCGAGGAAAAATAGAACAGGCGCCAACAGCCAGACGTGAATTGACTGGCAGCACCGAATCACCTCAATCCAACTGAAGCCATCGCTCCTGTCGTCATCAGCAACGGCACCATCCGCCTTCAGTTTAGCCATGACATAGTTGCGTTCCTTCGTAGATAAGAAGCGCGCAGTACACGGGGAGTTAGGAAGGAGCAGGAAGGCTGTCAATCCAAACAAAAAGGTAAAAATTCCCTCCTATTTGAGAGGATGAGCTGCATTGAAGGTAATGAGGATGGGAAGCCACTGACAAGAATGAAGATCCAAGCCCATCCAGGTCTCCCACCCTTCCCATTGAGATTCATGATAGCAGCTGCCAGCAGACCAGAGAATGCGCCAGAGAGCGACGCGGATGCGAAGAACGTAGCAACCCTGGCAGGACACAAATCAAATATGCCCGAGAATACGAGGGAGCCGCATAACAAACCTGATCTGCAATCTCTCTCTTGGATAGAAGAAAGACATATAAAGCACAAGACCAGGGAACAGACCACCTGATGTGAGAATTGAAATCTGGCAACATGTCGCAGGGAATGATGTGCAAATACCATACCTTCCATGAGACCCAAGAAGAATCGACAGGCCAGCAGACCCGAGTAAGTCTTCACAACGCCTGTGATATTCGGTGGATTGGCTACTGCACGTTACAACACCACGGCAACCCGACTGACCTTGCATGGTTGCCACAAGGCCCCATATGGTGACCATGGTTGGCAGCATCCACCGTGGTCCCACATACTGTTCTGGTGTTACCGTCAATCACCATGAGAACCATAAGATAATACTTGCCTTCAACAGCAAGTTCGAAGGGAACTCTGCTGCGATGTACGGGCTAGAAAGTGCGCTATGTCAGAGGGCGTCAGCTTGGTGAAATTGCGTGCTTACACATATGTCATGGTCAGAGCAATACTGTACTAGAAAAAAGATAGGTATCAGAACATGATACACCCTATGAGACAGCAGAGTTTTACCTGGTGGTTGGTCATCTTGAGACTAGTCTGCATGCCAGCAACCCGAGCATTTGCGATATTACTCCGGTCCTGTTTGTTGATCCTATTTGGTGTGGCTTCATAAATGATACTAGGGCATCACTCACAAGGAAAGAAAGGAGATAGAACATAGTGCAGACGGGCAGCACCCATATATCTAACTTCCTCCAGACAGTCCCTTCAAGAACAGCTTTCTCTGCATCTGAGATCTCTTCGAAACGATCGTCCTTCATCGTGTCTGACGAGGGGGAGCCGTGCAGAGTCTTTTCCATCCTGCGGACGTCGTCAGAGGCAATCCGGTTCGATAGCAGTAACGAAGAAAGATGCAATAATGTTGAGTGATAAAGAACAGCCGGATTTAGAGCCTATCATCATGATGAAGGCACTGTATATATAGTACTCACCTGATGCAAGGGTGAAAAAAAATCGAATCATTCCAATATGTCAACTAGTGCTGATAGCGCCGATTGATTGATCAATGCATCAGGGATCAACGTTAACTTGAAGGAGATATCTTCATTCACGCCGAGTAACAAGTGATGCCATCTCGGCACGGATAAACGATTGTAAGTGTCCGAATGCAGGATTCAGCTTGTATTTTGTTATAGCAGCGAGTAGCCTACTAGCTTGAAGTTGTGAGTAGTGAACGTGACATTTAAACAAAGTGCCACGTGCAAAATGGTGCAGCATGCGACGTGGGTATAAAGCTTTCACCATGTTCACTTACTAGTGGGAATACCTCAGATACGTTCTCAGTGACAAAGTCTGACAAGAAGAAACTCAAGGTCGTGCACCAAAGTGAAACCTAGAGCAGCCAATTTTGCAACAGATCTGCCGAAGTCACATAACATACCTCGCACGAAAACTCTATTTATTATTGACTTGTAAATAAGGTATACACATCGAGCTGCAGCGAGCCTGTAAGTTGGTCAAAAGCTCATGTCTAACGAGCACCCAATATAGGCACTCCCGTCTATGCATGCAAGAGTTGTTATACATAGGACTTACCCCAGGTAAAATCCTTGTAAAGGTTTCGTATTACATCATTCATGGTGAGGGTTATGATCCTGGTGGGAGGTAAATGCCACGCTCAAGCGAAGCGTGGAGCAACTCACGTATGAGGGGTGATACGCAGGAAGTGTGCAAGTGAACCTTCCCGTCAACTGATTCAGCTTTTATAATCATCGCTAGGTCATCAGCACGTACCCTTATACCAGCCGAGAACTCCCTCGGTTTTGAGGGTTCTCCACAGACAATCTATTGGACTCTTGTACAGCGCCCCTACGACCCTCCCATCGGGTAATTTCGTGGTGGGCTGATTGTACATTCTCGTGAGTGCCTGAAAGTGACACGTCGGCGGTGCAATTCAAACAAAAATGGGTTTACTTACGGTATCGGCGGGCTGCATGACAAGGCACTGCAAAGGGATTCAGGAATTATGACGGCATATCCTGATGGGGCATACCACGCAAACACCAGAAACCGCGCTGCTCGCAAGAAACGTCCATACACTGTCACCAGGTAGAATGGCATGTCCGACGAGCTGGTTCTTAGTCCAGTTATATGTCGGTAGTTGAACAGATGAGCCCATTGCTGTACGAAGAATAGCAGCATCCATCCCACGGAGGTAACCGCGAATACCCTCAGTCCGCCATATTGTAGTTAGGGCATCGAAAGAGTTCTTATAATGGCGTTGTGTTCCTATAGGAAGAGCGGGCGAGTATGCCTTGAGACACATCAGTCACTGGTGAATGACAAAGAAGTCTAATCACCTGCATACGAGCCTTGATGAGAAACAAGGGATTGCCGATTACAGCTGTGTTCAGACGTGTAAGCAACGTTATCTATGGGCGCATAACAAACACACCTCCGACAACACCACTGGCTGCGCCAGCCACCAAGGACGTGATAGGTATCTGGTCTGTACTCGACCAACCAAATGCACCATTGATAGTCCGTCGAAATGGCTCATAGAAACCTACAGCAGCCTCAAATTAAGGTACAAAATTGCTTCACGTATCACTCACTTAGGCGGGATCCGTTTAGTGGGATCTAACCTTGAAGTAAGTCTTGATAGAATCTTATTGAATTTTCTTACTTGCCTGATACGCATACTATAGTGCACTCTGGTCAGAAAGGTAAGCTGAAATTTTTGAGATCAACGTACCGCTACACCTAGTCCGCGTTGCATACCGCGGATACCTTCATTCCTCCAAGTCTTTATCATGGCGTCGAAGGCATTATTGTACACTTTGAGACCGCCGCCCTTGACGAGCTCTCCTTGCAACTGCAATCGAGTCTTGGCTACCTGTTTTCTCCAGAGTAAGCAACAGATTCTGCGCATTGGTTTAAACGCCAACCTCGGCAGGGTTGGATACTGTCACCTGCGTTTATGCATCATTTAGCAAACCAATACGAGAAGTAAACAGACTACTGACAGCTATACAGGCTGCCAAGCCACCGCATAGAAAGCTTTCTGTGGTTGAGAATTGATGGGCGCCGGCGGACATGGTTGGCACCTGCGGAAGCAAAAGAACAGCGGAAAGGCAACCGAACTGTGATAGCGCCTGAGCAACGGATATGACTAAGAGCGTATAACGAAAGGTAAGAGTACCAATTAATCAAATCCCTTCGCGTTAGCTATGGGCCTATGGCGCATTCCCGAATGCCACGAAGGAACTATGTCAGTGGTTTCCTGAATCGCTTTTGGTAATTTATTTTCTTGATTAGACATTTTATATACACTTGATATATATTTGTTGGACTCTCGGATCGAGAGTCGAGACTGCTCAGAATTTGGTTCAGCATCTTCTTAACATGAAAGAATGGGAAGTTTAATTTTTGTGTAGCCTGAACATCAGGAGGATGTTGCTTGTGGACCTGTCATCAGTCTGCAGTGCAGACCATTCCATAGAGGTGATCGAAATGTCCTCTCCAAATCCATGCCCACATCGACCTCGAAATACAGCTTTGAACCGTAGGTATGCACTATTATGTACGTATTCTGGAGGCTTTACTTTACTATGTTCTAGCTATGGTCTCATCCTATAGTACCTAAATGCTTCGCATGTCAAATTTTGAGATCTTGTATTTGCGAGGAGTCATTTGCAGAGTATGTATGATGATCTATGATGCTATGAGAATGTGATCGTCGATGTGTTGAAAAAAACCATCCAGCTACAATATATCTAGGGTTCTAATGTTCATGATGTCAATCGAAGCCGTGTCTTTGACCTGCGCAGTGATATTATGATCCGACGCGACCCTCTTGTATTCTCCAACGCGTTGCTGCGCTAGTAAAAGTGCGTTGAAAGCCTGCCCAAGGTGAACCATCAAACGCAATGGTCGCGAGTGAACTTCCGAGAGAACTGACAACTCCTCTTCTCCAAGTGAGCCGCTAGACGACTCGGACTCAGACAAATCCTCTACGCTCTCTGCTTCGTCTGCAAAGTCAGGCAGCTCAAGGAGGCGACGATCCCATGGGCGGACAAGAAAGAAAGTCTGTCGAGTAGGCTTTGCGCGCGAGAACTGAATTAGTGTCTCGTCCGTGGTGATCAGCAAGTCTCGAAGCCCATCTGCTTTCACTCCATACATGGAATGAGCAGCGTCACCGCGCCTCCGTTTGACTTCCGTGACACGGAATGCGATGCAAGGCAGACGAAGTCTGCAGTTTGCGAAGAGGGGAGTATTCATGTTCTCAAGCAGGTCGTACAGTTTCGAAGCTGAATCCACAGCTACAATGTTTTGCAACGAAGAGACTGCTATCTGAATCTCATCCTCGGACAATGATGACAGGGAGCATGGCGGGGTCGCATATGAAGTGATGCTGGCTGGAAGACAACTATTGAACTCGGACGATTGTCCGACCCAGTCCAGGGAAGTGATGTCGCCCGACCGAGACACGATCTCCTGCAGGAGCCGCCCGAGCGCGCTCTGCTTCCTCTCGCCATAGATCACAGGTAGGTGTATATCGAAGATACCAAACAATGAGTACGCGATGTCTTCCTGCACAGTGGTGACGCGCTTCGATGCCCATTGCAGTTTCTCTCGAGTGTCTCTCATCCCTGGACAGAAGGAGATCAGGGCCTGTGGATCTATGCCCGTCGCACTCTCCAACTCCTCCATGATTGCTGGGGACTCTTTATGGTTGGGAGAGCGATCGTCGAGATATAACGACCAATCCTTCTGATAAAATCTAACGACTTTCGGAGCGACGAATTCTTGAAAGGTCCATCCCCGCTCGTTCCAAACACTCCTTGCCAGTGCGCCGGGTTGGGATGAAGGAGGGACATCGGATAGGTAGACGATGGTGAGCGCTGAGTGACGGTACCAGACGAACATGGAGTTGACCGATTCTTGAAGCTCGACGTTGTTGCTCTTATCGATGCAGCATGTGTCCATCCACGCCCAGAAATACCCCGCATCACGAGCGATTTGGCAGAACGACTGCAGTTTCGCGATACCACCGAGTCCCTTCAACTCGCGCACGTTTTTATCCTGGATGTGATGCAGCAGCGCCTCCGTCTCTTCCCACCTGTGTGATAGCAGGACGCAACGGAAGTGCATCGCCACCACCTCCTTGATGCGTTCCATTTGGAGATCCTCACGCTTCGTTATGAATGACAAAAGGTCTTTGTACTCTGGACTTATTTTGAAGGAGTTTAGCTGTGCTGCTCGGTCGCACAAAAGACCCGTTGAGGTGTTGAGCAGACGTAGCGGAGCATATTCGAGTTCAACCCAAACAGCCCTTTGAATAGCATCTTCTACTTCGGATGGACAGACATACAGCTGACGCAGATCTGCAGAACGAGATAGGCATTTTTAAATTATGATTATGCAGGGATTTTTCATGGCTTACCTCGTATGTGTGGTTCGGGAGCATCATCCAACTTGGACAACATGATTGTGAAGGCCTCGATGGCTTCGTCGTAACGTTGTGCACCACGCAGAGCTGCATGTGTCAACTGGTATCCAACATGAGACAAAGGATTGAGTTCGGTGACCTAAGCATCGCCGAAGTCAACATGGTCTGCTAAAACGTAGATGGGCCATCGCACCTTTTTCGCGTCGAGGAGCGCATCCTCCCATAGCATTTCACTCAGATGTGCCTGGCTGCGACTTGCAAAGATGATATCGGATGTAGATAAGTCACCATCTATATCTTGCGTGAGTAGTTCTTCGTCAGTAGACAAGTCTCCATTTATGCATGCATCGCGGGCTGTTGTGATGGCGATATTCTGCAAGCAGCATGCTCGAATTTTTGTGTATGAGTCAGGGACGAAAACATGCCTTTGGAGGGATACCCTGAGGTACTGCCCACTCCGATATTATGTTATCGTAACCTCCGCTGAGGATGTGGTTGCTATCCAAGCAGAAAGTGACGCATTCCGTCAATAGATAGTGCTTGAATATGCCAACGGTTTGTCGATCTGAGAGTTGCCAGAGAAAAACGCGTTTGTCATCAGATGCGGAGGCGACGAATGTCTCGGCAGGATGAATGACAATGGCATTGATTCGGGCAGTGTGGCCTGTCCAAGGATCACCGACCTGCTCCCAGATTGTTGTAACCCATTCGCGCATGGTAGGATCGTCCTTATCGCCACCTGTGAGAAGGCGTGTGCCATCGGGCGTCCATGCGAGTGACGAGTTCATTGATTTGTGAGCCTTGAAGGATTTGACGCATTTCCTGGTGCTTGAATTGTAAATTTCGACACTATCGTCTGTTGCTACGGCAAGAAATTCTCCAGACGGTGAATACCGTATCCAATTGACATAATTACCACACTCGATGGGATCTCCTTGCCGCTCCCAGGTTTTGGTATTCCACAGTGTTGTCGTCTTGTCATATGAACCAGTGGCCAGTACTGCTCCATCAGGGGAAAAATCCAGCGAGGAGATAGTATGGTAGTGGGCCTTGATTTTGACGAGTGATTCGCTAGTTTCTCCGTGCCAGACGATGAACTCTCCAGAAGCATCACCGCTTGCCATCAATTGTCCATCTCGTAATATTGTCAATGCCCGCACCCCACCAAAATGTCCCTCCATCTTCTTCAACACAACACCTGTCTTCAAGTCCCACAGACGAATCGTGTGGTCGAATGAGCCCGTAGCCATCCATCGTTTATCGGGGAAAACTGCGACTGCCCTTATGCTTTGTTCATGACCTTTGAACTCTCGCAAGGGCATGGTGGTTGTAATGAGCTCCGACATTTTACTCGATGTTGGTGGTGTTGGTGGTGTTGGTGGTGTTGAGCAGGTTGAGGTGGTGTTGAAGGGTTTGTGCTTCTCTCTAAGGTGCAGAGGTGCATGTGTTATTATGTATGCGTTTTATGATGCTCCACTACTCAACCTACCTTTAAGTAAGCTTTCAATAGACGCCCAGGACACTTAAGGCTGTTTGCCTCCACGCCTCTATCACCCTATTGTCATACCGCTGTCCTCGACAGTATACCCTCCAAGTGCCTCAGCGCATACATGCGTCCGACTCTTGTCTTCACAGCTTCCTGAATATATCGCATCGCATCAAATCAAGCATTCGGTGCTTTCTAGCGCTCGAATCAGACTATCTATCCTGCATGAATATCGTTGTTTCTCATGTCTAGCAGCTGCTCTAGCTCATCGTCGTTTCACTCCTTTGAACGCATGCATATAGCTCACTTCAATAGGCTCTCAAGATCCCCGTGTGTACAAGATGGTCCATGGATCGTATGCTCAGAATTTCGCTCAGTAATGATCTTCCTAACATGACAGAATGGGAAATTGTAGCCTGAACACCGGTCCAGGAGGACGCCGCTAGTGGACCTGTCATCAGTCTGCCGTGCAATCCACAGATCTGCAGTGCAGACCATTCCATAGATGATCGGGATTCGAGGTGTCTCTCCAAATCCATGCTCACATCGGCCTCGACTTGAATCCAGCTTTGAACTCCCCTATTAATCTATTGTAGGTATGTACTACTAGTATTATCAAGTACGTAAACTGCTAAGTGACCTACATAAGTGACGGCGATTAATGTGCCCCGTTAACTACCGCACCCAGCTTCCATCTGTGCTGCAGTGCCCTATCCAACATTTGCGGTGTCTTATGATACAAAAAGCAAAGATCGCCATATAGTGAGGCAGGAAACAGAAAATTCAGAATGCATTACTTATGGACGACCAGAGGGTTCGCATTGTCAACCATTCGGAAACTCGGAGCACAGAGACGCTCGCCGATTTGTTTCGCTTCAGTTTCACTTTCCATGAGGTTGCATCAAAACTGAGGATGTCTTGAACCAATGAACAAGCCTGAGAGCGTGACTGTTTAAATTCAAGTGCGTCATTATCAAGATTCAAGAGTGTAGTGGAGGAGACATGATTGACGAAAAGTGAATCGGCCCTTAAGTGCGTACATGCTAGTATGGTCGGTAGGAATGTGGGGAGGAGACTCAGAGCCTGATTTTGTGAGTACCTTCGCACGTATCAAACTAAAAACACAATACTACTGAATAAGGTCACAGCTCCACAAAGCTAAAACAAAACAAAATTCCCGGATGACCTAGTAGTGCCGACTAAGTATGTTGAAGTCACCATTCCACAAATTCTACAGGCGAGCGCACTGACCCTCTTTGCAACAATGCAAAGTCTCTAGGTGTGGATGGTCGGTGTTTCACACAAGACCCGCTACGAAAAACTACAATAGCAAGGTATGTTTGTTGTGGACCTGTGGTTTGCGAAGCGTTGTAGTTTAAATAGGGACGCAATTGTTGGCCGAACGTCAGAATCATTTCTGACCTCCATCTTCACATCTCAACCTCCTTCGTGTCAATATGCAATCAAACACCGATTCATCAGCCATCTCGGGCACCATTACTCGTCTTGTAAGTACTTTATGTTAAAGGTGTTAGCGTCTGAACAAACATCTACTTCAGCAGTCGCATGTAGACATGTACGAGGCCACAAACCCAAGCCATGTCAACTATCGTTACTGGCAACTCGTCCAAGAGATGGCCAAGATTGTGCAGTCCATCGGTCCTCCCAGGGGATCTTCATCGCCTATCGGGCGCCTGCCCGCCGAAATCCTCGCTGAAATTTTCCTCTACTGCATCCCAGAAGACGCAAACTGGGCGCCCGCGCCAGATCTAGCCCCCATGCAGTTGACTGCAGTATGTCGACGATGGCGGGAGATTGCTGTGAACATGCCGAATTTATGGCGCAGGCTGCGATTGGAAATAGGGCACGGTGACTGGCAACAGAGAGCTTTCTGTTATGAATCCTACCTCGAGCGATCACGGGGACGTCAACTGTCATTGACTCTCGAGTGTGATAACAATAACTGGACAGAGCTACGAAGCCTGCTCCAGCCACACGTCGATAAAATTTCCTCACTGCATGTTGGATTATTCTCCGATGCCGGCTCCTTTCCACTGGTGCTGGCGGACTTCGGCGGACTCGAGGAGCTAGCTATATACACGGATGGTTTTGGTCCTGCACCAGCTCTCGACAATATCGAGGACTCCATTACGCATTTGCCGCCCAACATGCGCAGTCTCAGGTTATTGGATGTGTTGCTTGACTTTCGGACGTTGACTAGCCTCAATTCTCCCTCATGGGCCGGTCTCACAAATCTTGAGGTTCTGGTAGTGGGACTAGTTAGATTACCCCGCTTGCTTCGTCTTTGTCCCAATCTTTCGTCGTTGACGATGATTGGAGTATTCATGGTGGCGATCGAGACCTCAGAACAATTGGCGCACACCAAACTTCAATCCTTGCGCATTTCCGGCAATTTATCTACGGACTCGGTCTTGTTCGGACTTCTTGGGCTATTCGAAAACGTCACGCTCCCGAATTTACGCATCGTCGAAGTTAGCAATATAGGAGGATGGGCTCACAAAGAATTCAAGGCGTTCATAGAACGGTCACAGTGCCCCCTAGAAAGCTTGATCTTCGGCGGTGGAGCGAGGACGACGGCTCAGCAACGAGCAGAATATCTCACTCTTTTCCCATCTCTCGAACTAGTGGTAGATCCTATGCGTTCCTTGTTTCTAGAATAGACTGGGACAGTTTATGTACATAGTTGACGAAATGATGCTCACATGATTATGATATACGAGTAGTCGACACAATCGAGATTACATCTCAACTGTTCTTGGAGGGGGAAGTGGATTAGAACACAGAAACTTGCAGCAATATCCTATGCAGTCTTTGCACGACATATACAGGCAAATGATACTACATCCTTCTTGGCTGATAACTCAAAAGCGCATACATTAGCATAATAATCTATCTAGCTCAGTATATATCTGGATAATGCATGGACAGGAGAGTCACGCGAATTGGTTCCGCGGGATCAAACGTTTCGATATTGTAGATGTACGTATTCTGGCTTTACTTTGCTAAGTTCTAGCTATGGTCTCATCCTAACTACAATAAAGGAATAGGCTAGTTGTATATGTGCACCCGCCGTGGTCAAACAGACCCCGAGGTCGAGATTAGAACAAATGAGAATGTCCTCCAGAACATGATTACAATGCATTGAAACCCCAGAAAATGATAGGAGTGAACATGTTTATGTTAGATCTAGAGTACGGACGCGGGGCAACTTCAGGCGGGTCCAGACCAAGTGGCTAAAACTGCATCTTGCACATCGGACTTCGAGCATTGGATGTGTTCTTGATCTACGAAATTTGAAAACTTCTGGCATGAGTTGTATAGCTGTGCAGTATGACAACAAGTTGCAAGTCTCCCGAGGTTGATGAGGGTCGATTGAGGTCGACATGAGTATACATGTAAAATCGCCTGTGATGCTACATATCTGCATTCCATGTCGGCTTTTTCACATTTTCATGCCAAAATCTCATGCCCTTCCACATCGCATTGCTCTCCCATAGTGTTGCAAATCGAACGTCGTCCCGAGCTGTGGCACGTTTTCTCGTCCGTATAAGTTGATCCATGTGATAAGTTACTGTGTCATGTCTGGAATCAATAGCTTCGTCTAGACGTCTAGGAGAGCTGGAGGATCCTACTCGCAGTGCCTCGGCGTGTGACGGGGGATACGGATTCCGTATCCTTATGGCTTTCGCTACTGCAGGTTCCTGGAACCACTGAATTGCCTGGTTGTTGTGTGACTGGAGGTACATCCTGCGCAAACTGCTTGAGAGTGTGATTTGAGGCTACCGGCCTAGTAGAACTTTCGCCATCCTCCCTGCTCCCGACTTTGGCAGTTGCAGCGACTGGTTCTAAATGCAGAAGAGGGAGGCGCGAACGGTTCCTGGAAGGAAATTGCAGTCGGGTGAAGTCGATAGCCAGCACAGGAGGAGAATCTTTGAGACACGTAACAGAACTGGTATCGTTCACGGTGAGAGTATATTGAGGAGTATGTTCATAGGCACGATCAGTATCGACGGCCTTCTTGTGCCCATGATCATTTCGCAAAGAACAGTGCAATGATGACCCCTGAGATTGATATTTTGACACAGCTTTGAAGGGAGGAGTAAGGTCATGAGGAGCGGATAGCGTGTGATCATCGGGAGGAGTATTTGCGATGCCTGTATCGGGTGTAATCACACGAGTTGATCTAACGCCGTGGTTTTTGGCGACTGGGGAGTCGTATGCTTCTGTAATCGCGATGTCGGATAAAGTTTCTGTTGACGAAGACGAAGACGATAGCTTCAAGGAGAGCATACGGCGTTTGAGTGGACGCCGCGGGAGACTGTCTCCTGATTCACTATCGTAATGCAGTGCGTTGGGGTAGGGGAGGCTGTCTCTCTGGCGCTTTCGCTTCTGGAGGACGTTCGGCGGGATGCGGCAGAGATGTGTTTGGGGTTGACTCTGTGGCACAGAAGAATGTGATACCCGTTGTGGATATCGAGAGCATACTACTGAGGTGAGTACATGATCTTGGATTCCCGTGCGACTGAAAGGTGGTCCAGCATCAAAGCCATCTGTGGGGAGGTACATGAGATCCCGAAGTGGTATGAGATGTGGCAGGGAAATATCAAATAGGCAGAGAAATTAGTAGGGTGCCACAACAAGTAGAGTGTTTGACGGTCGAGGAACACAGCATGAGACGTAGTAATCGTACCATCAAGTACGTAGCCCACGATTGGAACACGAAACGAATGCGCGACACAGTGCAAAATCCAGCTCGCATGTATGACCTACAGGGAGCGTGCTTAAAAAGGAAAATATGATGTTAAGAGGTAGCTCACCACTATCGATCTTCTGCAAAGTATGCTCGTCCACTCATCTTCGCGACTGACGGCAAAAAAGTAAGACGCGGCAGCACTGGTTCCTCCAGAATAGATTCTGCCTCCATGAGTCACTGTACGCAGCAGGTAGAGCAGTTAGTCGCAGTGTTGTACAGTATCACTTAGATCTTCAATGATATGCTTAGAACTTACACCATGTCTGAACGGTTTCTTTCGGTACCCGCTTACTAAAACACGCTGGAACACAAGTCAGAGGTGCAGAAAATCCATCAGCCAAGGTATCGGAACTAACACACCTGTGTCGTTGAAAAGCATGTTAGTGGAAAGATGAGTGCAAGAAGATGCTTATATCATACGTTCGAGAAAGGATAACCCCTGGACTTTGGATCCTTCGGAGTTTGAACTCGAACGGTAATGCCGCGAAGTTCCTCAATGGCAGCCTTGAATGCACGTCAAGTTCTACTTACAGTTGGTCAATGTAGGCCATCGAACTAATGCTAGGCCTACATGCCAGCAAATTGATGCCAAATCCTAGTTACTTCTGCTATTTCCACGTGGTCAATGTCATCAAGATTGCACCGGTGGGACTGGCCTGAACATTCTCATCTGCATCATTCAGCACGTCACCCTTACAGTTAAAAACCGGGTGGGGCATCTAAACAATATTGGATTGACATCTGTCACTAACGTCGGAATAGACCGCCGGATGGGCGGGAGAAACAATTAGCTTGCAGTCGGCCTGGTAATCGAGAAGAGCATTATCGATATAGAAACTATGACTGCGGTCAAGGAACGCACGGTCCGAGTCATTCACAAGAAAACGCCATGGGCAAGATGAATGGATTTGCGCGTACTAAACAAGTATCCTTAGACCCGATCACGGCTTGGTCTGCTTGTTCCCGAAGTTAATTGAAATGAACCTTCGTTAGCACTATGCACCATTTGCTATTGCCTTTGTTTGTACGCAGATGGATGCATACAAATAGAAATTGCCGATGCTAGTGAATTACGAAGATACGACCCGCGCAATAAAAATAGCACGAAAGGAATGACCACATGCTTCAGAATAGTTCTTCCAAGTAGAGGTAAAAGAGGGCGTATCCAAATGACATTTCAGTTATTGGGCGTGCGCATCGCAAGGCTGGTAGCGACGAGCAGGTCCAGCATGAATTTCCCCGACTGTCGTAGAGATGACTACAAAGACCAGGGATCGCAGAATGAGAACGTACGGGTTGAACAACAAGAACACCATCTTTCGTCACTGACATGGATGTAACACGATATGTCGCTATAAGGGCGTCCTCGGCATCCAAACACTGACGAGAGCTACGTGATAAATGCTGGGATGTTCGACCGGCTCCTGTACGCACCTCCATCGCAGCACTAAACAGCCGCGCGCTCGTTTGCCAGCGATACTCCTTATGATTGGGACCCTCGAAGAAAACCGTTCCGTTGAAGGCCCCACGCTTCCTCTCCATCTTGACTGGATATCTGATACCAGTCATTGATAAGATCGTAGGCCCATGGTTTACTTCATCCAACAGTGGTGGTCCATTGTACGAAGACTGAGCTCGACAAAGCAGGGGACCATCTGAGCCATCAGCATGCAGATCAAAAGTCCAATGCATCGAACTCCGAGTGTTCTGCATGAAATATCTGTAGCGGCGATAGACAAAGTAAAAAGAAGCGATCGAAAATATCCTCAAAACTCACAAAGTTGTGGTTTTATCTTCCCCTTTGATAATCTTGCGATTACCAAACACACTCCCGAAATTGTAGATGTGCAGCGTAGTCGGTTGTTCTCTCGATGTGTTGAGCATGTGCAATTACCCGAGCCTGAAAGGTCCTCGAGGTAACAGTGAGAATCACGTGTCCGCTATGTACTCCTCCAGAGCGTATTCGGGGCGTGTCCAGTCTAGGGTCTTTTAGGCAACAAGGACAGGATATCACGGGCTTTGTTTAAGAGACAAAGATTTCTATTTCCAGAACGTCGACTGCATCCGATTATCACGTCTGAGAGCTATTTAAGGACTTCTTGAGGGCAATAGCATGTGGAAAGCTCCGTAAGCAGATTTGAAGACGAAATGGGAGACGACAAGGCTTACCGTTTTCAGCGACGCGCCAAAATTTGTTGCCAGATGAGGGCAATGTGTACAATTCCCCGATAACGAGCACCATAATGGTCCAAGAGCAGCTCAAAGAAGCATATACGTGATTGAAGCGCACGGAAATGTTACTAGTCCAACCCCGCTGACCAGTGTCATATGGTTATCCATAGCTGAGGGAGTAAAACAGGTCCGCTGCTTTATCTACATCTTCTTGAGTTCCCCCACACCTCGATTGCAGTCGTCGCGCGGAGCAAAGAGCACCGAGCTTCCCCGTGAGAGTGGTGATGTCCGAATGAAACAGCGTGCGACAGCTGTATAGGGCAAGGAATCGACCCAGTACCTGTTCTGCTAAACCATCCCCCAAAGTGACTCGAAACTAACCTTACGTGGAGTTTACCATCATCGAATCATGTAAGAACTTCTAGTCGGAAATTGAAACCACCTAGTGCCGTGAAATAGGTAGTACTGTCCTTCGGGAACTCGAGATGAAAATGTCGACCTGGTCCCATTACTTTTCTAGTCACAGTAATGTGCACTCAGCCTTCCGGCGCTGACCGCGAGAACAGTTGTGCACATGGCATGATACCCAAAGATAAGACCAGCCAGCAGAGGTGGTATTAGGTGCAGCTGGCTCGGAATGTAAATGATGCCCAGTCTTATCCGTTGTAAGACTGCACAGTCATCCGGTATTCAATATATTCACTTGACCGTACAAGTGTTAGCTTCTTGAACGAATCAAAAGGCGTGTTGCGAAATCGGCTAGAATCGGAATCACTGTATTGCTACTAGTTGTAGATTAAGCAGCCATGCTGAAGATACCACACGCACCAAGTTGGGCAGAATATGCTATGCTCTCGGATATTGGAGGGCGCTCTCTCCCTAGGCTGAATGTATTGCTTCCTTTGGAGATCGCCCGGAGATGAAAGATTTCAAGTTTGTCTTGTATTCTTGATTGCCAGCAAGTGCCAAGTTGCCAGAAAGGTCTAAGATCTAAGGGACTCGGATGACGGACTTGTAATTCCTCGTGCACAGTGACGAATTGAAGCGAAGCTTTAAATATAGTAAGTAGTACTTAACAGTAGGAGCCATGTTGCATGCAATTGTCATGCAGAATAGTCGTCTGGCGACAACGTAACCTGAAACCAGGCGTCAAAGCGAATACGTCCAATGACTACCCAGTATACGGATCCTGCCGTCACGTAAGTTGTACTCCAGCGCATTGCCTGCGCATGTGATCCTTCTAACCGAAGTTCGCGAAGCTTGACCGCTAGGTGGATGAAGCCTATGGATGGAAATCTGCACGAAACCGACTAGGAGCCGCCATATCGGAACAGTGAAGATCGTTAGCTACATCCATGAGATTCGAGTCTTACTAATTGAGGCGGTTTCTCAGCCTCAGAATCGATTTCTGAAACGCAAGATGGTTTGGGCCCATGCTAGAGTCGGTTTTGGGCGCCCTAGTAGTACTCGTGCTGGCAGTAGTAAACTTTTCCTAGCCTCTTTTAGATGCCGCCCCAAACAGCTAACGCACAAACACAAGGATTATACCCGCATTCTCCGCTTCTGATCTGAAAATTTACGAAACCCGAAGATCTATGTACACAAGTTGACTAGTCAATTACCAACCCCGTCGCCGGCCACCTTTCCCCCACTTTTCAACGAGGAATAGAGCCATATACTCGTAAATTTCTCTAAACGCACCTCTGCGAGTAATCGAGTGATCGCTACTCGATAGAAAACAGTTAGCATTGTACTACACGGAATGAATTCCAGTGGCGAACCTGTCTGTGAACATCCTGAAACGGAAGTTTCTGACTTGGGCTTCTGTGAACATATCCAACAAGTGAGCTGTGTTTGCATAGTGGACATTGTCATCTCCGCTGCCATGGGCGAGTAGATAGTCTATGCTCTTGAAGCCCTCTACATGTGAAACAGAGGCGTTGATGTATCCTCCAGGATTATTGTCGGGCAAGCCCATGTACCGTTCTGTATAAATAGAATCATATAGTCTCCAACTGGTCACAGGCTAGACTTGCTAGTGAGTGCAATGACTTTATCAGTGAGAGATGCACATACAGCAACCGCCATGGCCAAAGTGTGAATACCGGCATTTGCTTCGGCAACCTTGGAAGCCATGAACCCGCCATAAGACTGCAGCAGTCGATTGGTATATTAGCCACAGAATCCAGAATATGGCTCACCCATCCCCAAATTCCAATACGTTTCGGGTCAACATAGTCTTTCCCAGCCCAGATGCTGCCAGATGTTCAATACTGCATCTCATAATTTCAGGCGCTCCGTACCGTGCAGCATTGATTTGGTCCTGGGTCTCCCAGAAGCCAAGATTATTCCTTACTGGGTTGCGCAGGTGCCGCCCCTTGAATCCAGTCCCCCGACCGTCCACAACGACGACGACATACTGAAGTGTGCAAACGAGATAGTCATGCCAGTCTCGTTTGTACTCGACATCCACCTTCTGACTCTCTGGCCCACCGTACCTGAAAGCATCGGAAATAAGCGTGTTTGCTTTCAAAAAGGCATGGTACAAACACGAGGAATAAGACTGGGTACTTCGTCCGCCCTGAGTCATCCATGCGAGGAGGGCGCATTTCCTTTACGTTTAGCTCTGGGGGCTGTATATAGTTTCATCGCGAGAAGAACGCATCAAATAAACTAACCAAAGCCATCACTGTCTATCGTCGAATATGTGACGGCCGCAGTTTCAAATTCAGTTAGCGTGGCATTTAATGCAGAGTTGTCCGTCAGAACATAATCGAAATCTGAAATTAAGTTGTAAGCGCTAGTTGTACTGATAATGGAAATTAGAGATGACATCACCACTATTGCTAACATCGACAATTCGCTGCCATGGTACAGCTGGTCCCCTATAATTAAGAAGATAAAATCCGGCTTCAGGTGAAAAGCTAGCACTGTATGAAGAGGGTGTTGATTCATCTGTAAGCGAGATTGGCTCCACGTATTCTGAAACTAATGGCGTAATGGGGATTGAATAGATGTGACGTTGAATGGATGATCGCGCGGCTTGGAAATATCTGTAGATGGGATATGGGCGCAATGAATCATGAAGCTCCGACGGGAATTAAAAAATAGTAACTTACATCAATCCTCTTTGCGTATCTACTGCTTTAATGCCCCCTGTAACTTCCCATGGGCCGGAAGTGAGGAAACGTGGAGTATTACTCTCGGCAGGATCGAAAAGAGCAATATGGTTGTAGCCGTCGTTTGGTACAATATCAAGATAGGCAGATGAATCCCCTGAACGCAGGCTGTCCGGAAGAGGGAAAACATTTTGGGCCTGTAGTGAGCTTCTCAGTAAAGGATGACTACGCAATAATGCGAGCCACTTACGCTTTGAATCCAGCCCTCATCACCTTCCTCACCACCACTACCAAGCCTTCGGACTACCGTTCCGTACACGATGTCCGCAATTCCCATGTTTGTCAAGTCGAAGTACACGACGCTACCATTGTCTGCAGCGCGAGTAACCTCCTTAACGATGAGTGTCGATTGACCCACCCAGGTGACATCCATGATAATACTGTTCACTACGGGGAAGCGACCTTCCCAACTGAGTTCGGAAGTATAGATTTCGCCAGTCGAGTCAGAAGACGACTCAGATCCTTCGTACTGTGAGACATCGAAAACATGCACGGAAGCAAGAGGGTTGCTGTAGCCTGGTTTGGGGTATTTGATGACGACTTCTTGGGTATATGGAACGACAGTATAAGAATCATCTGTGGGATTGTAGATCGGGAACCGAAATTCGTCAACTTCGGTCTCGTCGAGACGTAGAAAGGCAATCTTGCTCGAGTCGGGAGACCACCACAGCGCGTAGTCATTTGATAAAACTTCTTCTTCGTAGATCCAATCAGGTACGCCATTGAATAAAGATGTATTCCCCGAGCTAGTGACACGAATGGGAGACGTAGAAGCACTGATGAAAAGCTATCAGAAGGCTTTGTTGTACGAACATCGAAACGGCGCTTACGACGGAGATGGGAGCACGTATATATCGTTGGCAGCAACGAACGCGATAGATTGCCCAGTCGGGGACCAGGTGGCATAAGCAGTGACTGGGGGATGAGTGGGCGGTACCAGTGGGTATGTTACTTTAGTGATCAGGTTATGCACGTAGTAATTGCCAAAGCTCGAATGACGCCATTGCTAGAAGTTGCATATCAGCATTCAAAGACTATGCTCATGGATAATCTTGACCTTAAGATGGTCAGCCTTCACCAGAATATACGTCATATCCGGCGAAAGCTTCCAATCTGTCCAGTAAATAATGTTCCCCTCATCCTGGACAGCTCTAAATTTAATGCACAATGACTTTGGAGAAAAGGGCGCTTACGTCCTTAATGTCCATCATGGAGACAAGGTTAGTCGTTCTATTATTTTTCAGGTCAACAAGCTGAATCTGGCCATTCTGGAAGATAGAGAAAACTCCATCGCCGGCTACGAAATATCTCCATGAGGGCAGAAGTTGTTTAGTGCTACAACTGACCTTCTGGAACCCAGTTCACATTCTCCCCCAAAGCACTGAATGTTCCGTTAAATATATGGTCCAAGGAAAATTTCCTGGCACCTGGTAGTCGATAGGTTTGTCCATTGTAGAGAGATGTCGCAGCAAACAGTCCAATTGAAGCAGAAAGAAAAACCAGCGATGCCAGAGAGATGATAAGGTACTTTAGGCTAGCGGGCCTCTTTGATACAATGTAAGCAAAGAAATGAGAGCAATGTAAGTTATGACTGACTTTGTTCCCTCCTACCAGCAAGCCATTTCCCGGCTCCGTGTCACCGAAGACATTCGGGTCGTCCGAAAGAACAGTATCCCGCTTCTCAATGAGACCCACGCTTTCGTCAGAGGAAGGCGCATCGAAGGGGCCTTCTTCGTAGTATACAGAAGGTCTAATGGCCAGGTCTGGGTGTATTGCAGTAATCCTCGAGCGAGAGGCCAGAAGACCGTGAGGGCTATCGTTTGAATTGTCTTCAAAGTCCTCATCATCTCCATTGACATGCCTGTAAGACATTGCCGCAAGCCAAAACAGACTCTTCGTGGCAAGAAATAACTACCGACTCTCTTGGCACCTCAACATAGTAGTACGATCGAATAGTGAATGAGAATTAGCCAATGCTAAGCGCTACGCAGTGCGCACCCTTTAATTACATAAGCACATTATGGCTTCATGCAGCCTGAGCCGCCTCAGACTTGAGCTTGAAGCTTGAAAGCTGACTTAGTATTGTAGTAACGATGGCGGCGTCATCTCGAGCACAGAACGCTAGCTGGGATCCAATCCTCATTATATCTCAGGCATGTTCTGTTCTGTTCTGTCCACATTGACCTAAACCGTCTACATCCACCTTAGATTATTTCAATACAAACTCTCCATTATCTAACCCTCTCCGTCCTCATCCCTCCATTATTGTCCATATTTGCGGAGGCCGGTGCACTCGTCTTTGAAGGAGGGGCAACGAATGTTGGTGCGTCTCATAACCGTTGAGTCATAAGCTATTGTTGAGAGGGAGGCTGCATCAGGGATGATAATGGATTGGCGAGAAATGGCCGGCCGTCCAACAGTACGCGGAATGCAGGGCGAAGACAGGTGGGACGCTTACTATGGCGCCTGGAGTGGTGGTAAACAACTCGGTTCCGGGTGGGAGGAAGGCAGGTGGGACGGATGGACCGACCCTATGCGAGGCTGGGTAATAGCATTCTCATGGATGATTGCATCCTTCGCAGAGTATGTGTTGTACAGTCCAGGATGCTTGCTAGAAACTGACCATACTCAGCATATACTATTTATGTATTCTCATTCGACGACCGCGTTTCATCTTGGATTTCGCACTAACACTCGCCTTCAGTCACCTCGTACTCACGACTTATTACTCGGCTTCAATACCCACTTCCTTGTTCTTCTGGCTCGTCATGTTCGCATGGTCAGCATCAACAGTCATAATCGCGGAGCAACTTTGCGTGAAGAGAGAGATGGCCGAAGGATTGGTTATATCTCCTCCGAGGGACGAAGAGGATGATTTGGAGATGGGAGAATTGCTTCGCAGAGATTAAGTGAGTCCCCGTGTATTTTGTGGCCCAGCTGCTCGTAGTACTGGTCTTAATTAAACTGAAGCCCCTTTGGATACGCAATAGCTGGCGATGTCCAGCACCATCTAGATCTTGACAAGGTTTGAGTGGCGTAGAAGATATCACCAATTTGTTCAATGCTTAGCCTTCTGCAAAACTCATTACCGCGTAGGTGAGCTAAACTAGTTGTAATTTGAAACATTTGGCAAGATACCTAATACCTGGAATTTATTGCGAGCTTGAGGTTAGTTGTTTGCGAATTTACGCCACCGACGGTTCTCTTGTTTTGAATTTCCCAAGTTCGTGTGGCCCTGTTCTTCATCTCGATCCGGTCACCGGACTACAAGGTCCATACTATGTTGGTAAGCGGTGGACTTGAATATGGCCCTCCGGACAGTCTACCTCTTCATTTCCGCTGGATGCTCGGTCCGCCCGGGAACCTTCGTTATTGCGCCTACATACATAGCAGTCGGCTGTATTTTTTTTTTCATATCCCAACATGTTCTGCAAGTAATCACTTTTAAGTGATAGCCGCGGAATTGGCGTCGCTATCTTTCTTGTTTAAAGTCAGTGAGTAATATGACTGCCCACTCCAAGACGTCAGGCTTATTTGCCACTAGCTTTGACGCTATTGATGTGGCGGCTTCGCAAGCGATGAGCTTTGAACCTGCATGCATTCGCATGTCATCACGCAATTGCTTGTCGATATGTTTCAAGTGCAGAGCACAAATTATTTTTACCCATTTCATCAAACAGCTGTTCACTTCATTTCTAGCATGGAGTCGTGCTTGAAACAGTGCACTCACGTAAGGTCCGTCACAAATAGCCTAGACTATTGGATAATCCAGAGTGCGAAGATTCTGAGCCCTTGATCTGCAGTGACGGCTGCGAATGAGATAGTTGGTTCGAGGGATATTCTAATGTACAATTGCATACAGGATCCTCCATGCCGACTTTGTCATTTCTACCGCGCATGGCTCGACATTACTGGGCCTAGAAGAGCTCCCAATTTATAGATGTCAACGTGCCTTCGTGCATGGTACGCATGTTGTGGAGCTCTGACAGGGGCTGGGAACATATCATGTGGTACCTTCAGGAATCAGACACCGGAAGACTGTATCACTTGTGCGGTGGCGATGGGAATATGAGTCCCTCGTTTGAGTGGGGTGCGCGGTCTGCATCTTGCTGAGGCGGTAGGGTTACCTGTTGCATTTATCAAGATCATGAACTTTAGATTTCAAAAAGGAGGCGATTTTGTGACAGATAGCTTTCAGTCTAGACAATACTTTCAGAATGATCGGTCAAATCCGTTTGTGAAATTGTGAAGGCCGGTGAAGGCCTCGACTCACTAATTATAGAAAGATTTGCTCTTAAACACCGGCCGCAGGTGAACGTCGTGAACACCGGAGGGTGGCCATATGTCTAGGCATACTCATAACTTTAAGGTTGCCTTCGCAGTTGAAAAAGACAGTGATGCTTGTTACTCTTTGTGACCGTATTCTTTTCCAGCTATTTCCGACAATCCAGTGCAGACTTAATGGAGTTGCGCCGCCTGCCCTTTGCCCACAGGTGGAACCCACCACAGTCCGTGGCGGCGGCGGTTATTGGTTGACGCTGGTGATACCTTTTGTGGCAACTTGGCTCCTGTCCACGTCCTAGGCTTCGTCTGTCTCGTCAGGATTCGACTTGGTCTTCGGATCTGCTGGCATTCGGAACCAACTCGGAGCTACAGTTAATTCCAGGGGCGCAAAGCTGCTGGATTCCATTTCATATGATCCTACCTTCCACTCAGGGGAGTTTCCCCTGTGGAACTTGTTGACGAAAGATCATAGGCTCGTCGTTGCTAAGCCGACACTTGCTCCCCGAGAGCCGTATGCCCAGGGCCATGCGACTTGAATGTGACTATTTGAACTCAGAATTGATTACGAGCGTATTACTCTTCGGCCGAATTTGTCTCACAGGTTTAGCTCGGGTCCAATTACGAAACCGCGGGGTAACACCAGATATTGTTCGGTTCGTATGCTGTCGTTCTTTTGAAGGCGAGAGAGGGCTTTATGTACAATGTAAGCACCACGGCAAGACCTGAGCTTACAAGGAACTTGGAAAGGAAAGCCAGATGGTATGTTTCCACGCGAATAGCATGGGACAAGAGCTAGTACCTGAGGCCTGAGTCCTGAGTATCGCTAGACCGAATAAGCGAGGGTCTGTGATTGCTCCGCCACGGGTCGCAGGACTTGTGGCGAACGCCGTAACGAGTCTACTAGTTATCCCAGCTGAGGCTTGTTGTGAGAGTACCGCCTCGAAAGTATCCTAGACCTATAGATGAATATTTGGATCTTGGACTTGAGGCTGATGGACGTAAGGCGCACACTGATCTGAGGCGTTTCATTGAATGAAGTTGTGATGGGGATGTGTGCCAACCTGAAGCGTTTACTTACTAGCGAAATTTATGTGTGGCTCTTATCTTGTGACCACCCCTTTTGGTTGTTCCGCTGCCCTAATACTTTTCAGATCGCACGCAGATTTATCATACTCGCTTTCAATCGGGGAAGCAGCTATTAATCCCGTTATTCTAAGATGTACAGTCCGCCACCCTGTATGACACGAGGCGCCAATAAAATACCTTAAAAGGCCGTCCGTAGCGGGAAGAAGTGCGCCTCCTCCTACTTTTTCTAATACCCTCATCCTCGATGGATGCACTCAAGAGTATGCTGTCCCCACTGGGGGTCGGCAGTGCTAATGCCATACAAGACACTCTTGTACGTCGTGTCCGTTCAGCAGCAACGAATGTACTAACGCAAAATGTTCGCGACAGAAACTTGTTGTCATCGGCGGGACTGTTGAGACAGCTAGAAGAGCCTCAGCAGGAGCATGGCATACTTTCCTTGACTGTACGGAACGTTCGAGAGTTCACGGACTGTAGCTAATATGTACATCCGCAGCCTTCTTCTTGACGGCACATTTTAGTCAAGAAGACTATCCGTATGACTGGTAAATTTCATCTATCGAAGTCGTGACCAAGTTCTTACCTTTGTTTGTAGGCTTATGCACTGGCTTTCGAAGGTGGGCAGCAATTCCAACATCATCAATCATGAATGGCATTGACGCTAAGCACAGCAACCGGCCTGGGGACGCAGCCGTGAATTTGAAATTACCACCAGGACGGTTGGCCGCAATGGTCTCACGCAATCAACGACGGGTGACCTAGATGAGGAAGATGAAGACGAAGAAGAGGATGCTCTCGTACACGGACGTCGGAAACGCAAAGTGGCGTTCATGCCAAGTATAGGTAAGTCAATGCCCGCATATCGGTTCCACGTGGTTGAATATTTCACTACTAGATACGACTCACACCATCTATTACCGTGGTCATTGGCTTCGGGTATGCTATTACTATTCGGTAATGTCCTCGGAACACTAACATACTTCAATAGATAACTAGGACTAAGCGCTACCCGGACTACGGTCATGGTTCGGCTCTGAAGATTAGGTCAAATATTTTTTACCAGTGTTCCGGCAACATGCTTATCGCCCTGCAGCGTGATTGCTCGCAACAATGACATTTTGAAGAAACTCGTTCTCGAGGCGAAGCGCGAGTATGAGAAGGATGCCGAACATCGCGTCCATATTTTTATGGCCGATACGTGAGTCTAGCCTTATCATTAAGGTACAAACGAATCTCATTCTATTTCAAGGACTTACGGCTGTTGGCGTTGGAATGGAGCTCGTCAGAAGCGCCCCATGAGTTCTATTGTATTGCAACCAGGCGTCAAAGATATGCTTCTGGCTGATTGCAAAGACTTCCTGTGCTCTGAGGATTGGTGAGTGAGCTTTCAAAATTAAATTGTTACAAGAGCATCAATTACTTTTTCCAGGTATGCTGAAAGAGGTGCGTGAGATGGCGTAACGTTGAAATCAGACCTGACGGCACGCAGGTATACCGTTCCGCCGTGGATATCTGTTGCACGGTGTTCCTGGAAGGTTCGTATGATTCATGTGCTCTGGTTACCACCGGTACTCACGCTCCATTGGTCATAGTGGCAAGACTTCATTGATACATTCATTGGCGGGTGAATTAGGTCTGGACATCTACGTTGTCAGCTTGTCATCAAAGGGGTAAGAGTGGCTCGAGCCTGAGTAACCGACTATTAATGTCTGCCAAATTCAGGATGAGTGATAATACACTGACAACATTGATGGGTCATGTACCATCCAGGTACGGTTCTCCGTCATCCACGGTCATTTCTCGGTATTCATTTTATTATCATAACAGATGTATTTTGCTTCTTGAAGATCTGGATGCCGCGTTCACGCGCTCTGTCAGTCGTGATGCATCGTCAACTGGTGCTCCCACAGCATCTAGTACCAATAGCACAACCACTGAGACTAACGATGGATCAACATTGAGCTTGAGTGGACTTTTGAACAGCCTCGATGGGGTCGCCGCTGCAGAAGGCCGGTGGGTTGCTATGGCTCCCCTCTGAAACTGCGCCACTAACATGCCTCACCAGACTGCTTTTTGCTACGACTAACCATATTGAGCGCCTTGATCCAGCCCTTAGTCGCCCAGGACGCATGGATGTCTGGGTGAATTTCACACATGCGACAAAATGGCAAGCCGAGGGCATTTTCAAGTGTTTCTTCCCCTCGAAGCCTGCTGGTGTCGCTACCACATCTCCACCTGAAGAGGACGTTGACACTTCGCAGAAAAACCTTCCCCTGCCAAAACGCAAGGCGCCCAGTCACACTATTCCTGTGCTTGATGAGACTGAAATTTCTGAGCTTGCTAAGCGTTTCGCAGATGCTATCCCAGAGAACGAGCTAAGCGTAAGTTTCCGGAAGCGATAATATATTTGCCGTTGACGTCGTTTCAGGTTGCCGCGCTTCAAGGTTACTTGTTAAAGAATAAGGTTCGCCCGCGCGAATGTGTCGATGAAGTTGCACAGTGGCACGTATACATAACTTTGGGAAGTGCATCACGAACTCAACCATCTTACAGGATCATTGAAGAACGCGAGACTCGGGAGAAGCTCAAGAAGGAGAAGGCGGAAGTACGTGTGGTACAATATCTGTGTGACTTATGCTGAATTTGTTTCAAGCGCGAGGCGAAGGAGAAGAAAGAGGTAAGCTCCTGTGACTCGATCGGTCCTATTGTGATATCTGACCATGGGATAGACCGAGGAGAAAGAACGCAAGGAGGTATCGTGCTTGGTTCTGTCCCGCTGAATGATGTCACTCACAAAGCTATTCAGAAAGAAGAGAAGGTTGCTAAAGAGGTAATGTCCTATCAAACCCAATTATGCGCGTCCTGATGGTGAGACAAATCGTAAAGCAAGAAGAAAAGGATGCCAAAGAGAAGACCGAGAGGAAAGAACGTGCGAAAACCAAAAAGGCTCACCGCGCCGAAACTGCCTTGAAATTGGAAGGTACCTCCAGCACCAGTTCTCTGGCTACAACCGAAACAGTCGTTGTCCTGAGCACCGCTGAATCGTCAAGTTCTGAATCGGACAGCAGCAACGGCGGTATTGAGGCAGACACTGAGGAAAGCATAACCTCAGAGGAAGAACCCGACAAGTCCGCCGATAATGCGGGATCTGGTGATTCCGCTGTCAAAGATAGTAACCATTCTAAGGAGAAATGGGTCGCTGTAAAGGCTGACTCATGAGCTGAATGACTGTTGACACATTGCCTTGTTAGAATCCGGGGGGCGTGTCATCACCGCACTTATCGCTATTTTGCATCTTGGTCCATTTTGTGACGATCGCTTCGAGCTTGTTGGTACGGTTTAGATCTCGCAATATTTACGCAATCTGATATCCGAGTGCACGTATGCTACGTACTAGTTTTGTTATGGTTAACCTCCTAGCTAGTGCACTGTCAATCATACATGATAGATAGTATTTCGCAAACCAGAAGGAGTCTAAGTTGATGAATGGTTGCAATACTCAGTAGAGGTAAAAACTAAAGCTATCATATGGGCTTCAAATTGACTTCTGAAAGTGTTTTGAAGGCTTCTTTGTATGCATCCAACAACGCTTTTACCCTCGCCCGCTCGGCGACCAATGCCTCATCCTCGTTCAGTAAATCCGCAAAAAGCTCAGGCTTGTATAGAGATGCGACCAGGCGGTTCTGCACTTGCTGCGAGGTGTAGTTGACCAGGAAGTGCATGATCGCCTTTGGTATCAGATCCTGTATGCTCTGGCGGACAATCGAGAAGTATGATGCAATGAGAGATCTTATCAGTGACGTCTCCATCTCCTCTCGCATGGTGATTTGAGAGCCAGGTTCAGAAGACGATATCTAAAATCGTATCGTGAATCCTCGTACGAGAGGTATCTGTACTAGTGGGCAAAACACTTACGGCTTCGATATGTTTCCCCAGGCTCTTCATGTCAAATGCGGCGTTATTGCCATCAAGTGTCCGCTTGCCGGCCATAAGACCGGTGGGGCCTGCGGTCTCCGCATGTGAAATGTCCCTGCCTGTGGGTACCGGCGCTGGACCATGGGATCTTTCCACGGTTGATCCCGCAATCGGCCCTGGACCGTTCTGCCCAAAGAAATAGTTGAGAAACGTCTCTCTTGCAGAATGCGGGGAAGTTCCTGGTGCTCCTGGCTGCGTTGCTTGGGAATGCGCAGAGGAGTGACGGGGACCCTGAACCGGATGCGGCTTAGATGATGATGCTTTCGCAGTCGGTGCCGAGCCCGTGATTCGTGTGCGGTCATGCAGAGTGGATGACACGGAGCGCCCGTCACGAGAAAGGACTCCATTTGCTCCCACAGGTTCCTCGGTAGATGACTCATCCTCGTCTTCTAGCGTGGGTGCGCCATTTATAGGCTCGTTACTTTGGGGCTAACAGCAAAAGAAGCGCATATTGAGACCATCAGAAAGAGACAAAACCAGAAAGTGGTGCGTACGCGTGACGGTTGCGCAGGTTTGGGGGCGGGAGAAGTCGCGGCTTGTGCGGCGGCCGCGGAACCCGATATGAATGCAGGGTGGTTGGTGTTGATGTATGCAGCTTGTATCTCGATCAGGCTCTGTGCATATTCTGATGTAGGTCCGAGTCGTTCTCTCAAGAGTTCTGACACACATTCAATTAGCTGAGCGTGAAGGCGGGGGAATCGCTCTAATTCCTATTGAGGAGTTTGAATAGGTAAACCTTGATTAGATAGTAATAATGACTCACTACGCTTGTGCAATTGTGGCAGATTTTGACAAGCTCTTCGTATACCAACTCTACACATCTCAGACTAGGCGACTCCAGTAACTTAATCTGCGGTTTTACTAGCAGATCAAAAGCAGACTCCGGAACAAACAGGCTTGGCCGAGGGCCAGTCGAGTTCCGAATCGCAGTTCGGATATCCTGGTTATCGAGATTCGAGGTTGAATCAATACAAGCAAGCGCATGCCCAAAGATGTCGTTGAAGATGTAATATATACGCGCTCCGCCCGAGAGCTCCTTGGTCGAGATGTCGACCTTGGTACCTTCTATCGATGCAACAAAATCATGTGCGAACTTATTCATCAGCCGTAAGATAAGTCCGCCTTGCTGTATGGCGCTGAGTTCATGGTCCACGTATCTCAATAGATGGCCTACCTGGTTCTTGTCCCCGTAGATGGCAGCGTCACCAAAAGAATTCAGTTCTTGCTGTGCCTGTCCCATGAGTGTGTTGAGGCGAGCTTTCATGTCTGGCAGCTTATCGCGTATATGATTCATCAGCACCTGGTTCAGGGTTCTAGCAAGATATTTGGTGCCATTCTTGTGCGCGATGTTTCGGTATACAGCATGATTGCGGAAGAACTCGGCCTCTGAATCTAGGGCGTCGGACAAACTCTTCTCTGAGTTGATGTCTTGCTGACTTCGATTCACGACCCCAATGAAGCCTAGCTTCAGCGGATAGACGCGTCCTGTAAGAATATCGAGCGCGTTGGTACCTGCGTCCATCAAGTCCAGCTTTGTCAGTACCCCAATCGTTCGACGTCCTTGCGGATCAACGGAGCGAGCCAGCTTTAACGCGTCGGAGTTGGCAAGGTCGACGTTAGCAGCGGAAACAGCTAATATAACACTGAAGACAATAAGGCGGTTGCATCAACAGCGAGAAACAATGGCCAACCTATTAGGTTTTGAGATATACTCGACAACGAGGCCGCGTATCTGCCTCTCAATATCACTCGGCTGGTCTCCGACTGGAATCTACAAAGGTCAGGAGTACATACAATAATATTGGCATCGACATACCTTAGTCAATCCAGGTAAGTCCACCAGTGTGAGGTCCAGGACATCGGGGCTGTATATTTTGAGCGAAATGGGCAATTTGCTGATGCCTTTGTTCTGTCCAGCGACTCGAAACGTCTCCTGCTCTATCTCCTTCCGTATCTCATTGTAGTCCGTAAACCGCTTGTCAATATGCAAGAATTGACCCCATTCCGTATACGTAGGGGCAGCTGGATCGGGTGAAGGGGTGTGGATAAGTTGGAGGACAAGTGGGCGACGGGTGACAATGCCCTGTCCACGTGGAAGGAAGTCGCGACCAACGATGCTAATAAAGGCATGATGAATAATATTTCAGATGCGATAATTACCACATACTTTTCAAGTACACTTGATTTGCCCGCAGACTGACTGCCAACCTACCAAAGAATTTCTGAGTAATGCTTTCGGTAATATACGATCATTAACGTGCACGCACCACGACTAGCTGTGGCATATCCAGTTCGCCGCCTGCCCCTCAACCAAGTCAACACAAACCCTAATCGCATAGTCTTTCACGGGAACTCACCGAGGTTGCTGAATGTATCTTGCAACCGGTTGACGAGTTTAATGAGGTCTGAATCCATGACGGCTGTTTCCTCCCTGCGTTCAAGGTCGTGAATGAAAGGTCGTGAATGAAGGGAGAAGCTGACGAGCAGCGGCACAAAGAATTATGGTTGTACGTGCCGAGGCACGTGAGGTCTTGAGGCGCGTCGTCACGGCCATTTCCTATTTGGTCGCGTTTGGCTTTATGGCACTTACTAGGCGCAGGTAGCATCCGTTGAAACTCAAGTTGATTAACTTTTTCAAAGTTCCAGCTTGTGAAATGACCGCACGAATAAATTGCACTCGTAGGATGATAGAAGTTGGCTATATAGAAAAACTACGCGACTCTATCATGAATTACCTAGCCACAATCAATTATTGATCACCAGGTATGCATCTAGATTGCTTTGCTTTTCACGAGCTCTGAGAAAATAAGATTTAAAACTCAAGGATGAATGGGCGATGACAGATTGGTACTCACGCTCAACCTCTGCGACTGCGCTGGTCAGGATATCTTTTTGCACCTTCTCGTCCTGGAGGTCAGCCATAACCTTGGCAATCACGCTCTTGGCGAGCTCAAGTTGTTCGCTCTCTTTCTGTTGCTGCTCATAACGAACCCAGCTGTCGAGAACAGCTTTCACCTCGGAAGCAAGAGCGACCTTCTGTTGCTGGACGAATGCATCTGCCTCCAGCTGAGCGGTTTCCTACTCACAAAAAGAATCATATAGTGGCCATCGGACCAACAGGTAATTGTCCTCACCTTCGAGAGAGCAAAGAGACCCTGAGTCAGTGAAACGACATCCTTCATTTGCTCGACGGAGTTGATACGGTCCTTCACTGCCTGAGTGTGTTCTGTTCGCGAGCTTTCCAAAATGTTCTTGATGCGTTCAATGTGACCATTTGCCCAGTCACGGTATGGTTCCCGAACAAGCTAGGCGAAAACAGGTATATGGGAATTGGTGCAAGCACAATGGTGACAAACGTACCTTGGCAATGTAGGCAAGAAGAATGAAAGTGCCGGCAGCAACGACGGTCTCCTCGTTCACAACATAGAGCTCCTGGGAGATAGCAGTTGCAACAAGACCGGTGCCGAGAATTGCAGAACCAGTCTTGGTGATTAGACTCGGCGAGGAAGGAAGGGTATTTAGGATTTCTGCTGCGCGCTGCTCAGGTGGGGGATTCGAGCTCATTGCGCGCCTGCGTGGGTATCATTAAATAAACATATACATTTGGAGACCAATGTCGAACGTACGCGTTGACAGCCCGGGCAAAGCTAGGGAGGGCGCGTGGCCGAGCTACACAAATTTCAGCTTGACATGGCATGGTGGAAATTCCTAAAAACTGACCAGAAGCCTTGAGCGTATTGACCACGATCCTGGACGCCATTTGTGGTACAGATTGAACTACAGAGGACGTCGGGTTCCGAAGTCTGGATGAAGAGGATGGGAGACCGTGGGAAATAAAATATTCCGACTTGACACGATACCTTCATGCATGAGGCGTTACTTACCAGTAGCCGCCTCTATGGTGGGCTGCAAGGCGATGCCTGGCGCAGTAAATTGTTCTCGCATGTAAGTCATGCAACCTTATTTGATCACTGTTCAGCGGTGCACAGTGAAGACTATCGGATATCAACTGGGTCTGGACCACAGCACGAGCGGAGTGATCGAGAGGCTGGTTTATCGACCTATTGTTATAGACAGGCTGGAAGAAGATGCCGGTGCGGCGAATGATCGTATCACGCAGCGTATAAGGTTGGATTGTATCTCCTCCGATTTGATCGAGTGGTACTTATCTACTTGAACTCTGTGATCCCGATAATCAGGTAGTCCATGGTGCACATTGTACATCATCCAGGACTTTGAGACTAGCACTCGCTCTGCTATCTGGCGGTGCATGCGTTTCATATTCTCACGTATCTGATTTCTGGAAACAGAAGCTTTGACCTCATTATATGTTTCAAGTGACGACCTTTCAATCATGTGCATTGCCACGTGAATATTAATTTGATCCATCTTCCTTCTCTTTGAGAGAGGCATGGGATTGCTAGTAGATAACGCTGAATGTGAGTGCACCGTGGTGTTTACAGTTGTGGAGTATAAAGTCAAACATTGACAGTTCTCCTTGGGAATCCGGTTGGATAGGCTCTAGTGTTGTACATGTCGCTTCTATGAACTGTCATCTTTTCTTTTTTCGTCTTCGGTGGGTATTATCATAACATGCTTGCCTTGCTCTATCCCCCTTATCTGCCTGAAGTCATTTCCGAAGGTCATGTTTCCATTCTGTGAATGGGTTGCTCCGCATCAGAGACACTGTTGTGCTCTAATTGGGTCCACCTTTCTAGACTTTCCATTCTATTTCCATGTGCCGTTTGATACGGAGGATTCTTCGTTTGGCCTGAGAAGCATATGCGGAACTAATTTCTGGCTTGACGTATTAAAGATTGCTAGCCAATTGGCACACACGAAACGGTTCTTTGTGTCATGCTTGACCTTGAAGCGCCTCTCGAGAATGGTACGTTAACAAGCACTGCTCACTGAAACGGGCACCCCTACCTTCTGACAGAATATTTTCCGATAAGCAAAGTTTAGACCAAGATCCTTGGTCAGACTCTCTTAGAAGCATACCGGCCGGCGCCATGGCGTGTAAGTTAGAGTTCAAGAACGTATCCGTCAATGACTCCCGTGGGGTACATTTCATAGAGAACGTGTACTCGCTTTAAACCTTACTACTAAGTTCGTCAATCTTTTGTGTCCGCGGGGGATAATCTAACCATAACCATGTGGCGTCCTGTCAATCTTTCACTACAGCACGTCCCTGTAGCTTTCGCCGCTAGTACGGAGGGGCTGCCGGTGAAACTCGATGGGAGGATCATTGCTTGGCCTGGAATGGATCATGTAAACGTATCGCTGCGCTAGAGTACCTCCATTATTGATTTCTCCTGTAGCTGTCCAGTATGACATGTTGAAGCTTCCGACAAACTGATGAAGACGGCAGTCGGGACTTTTGTACAAAAATATGGTCTGAGATACGAGGCAGACCAGAGGTGAGAAATCGCTACCACCGTGTACACACCTACTATTCGGCACACTTCGGAGTGCTCATGACACTTTGAATGCTATATTCGATGACAGAGTTATCGGTACGCTAACGGACAGCGCACACAATATATAGATGCAGTCAACAAGACATGTCGCAATCCACATCAGAAATTTGCCAAATGTATATTATGAACACGCATTTAAGGTATCATTGCCACGGTATTGACTGTGCTGTGCAGTTTGCTCCACATGCGGTTTATAGTACTGTCATGACGAGAGTATGTTTGCAACAGTTTCGTATACTGCAAATGTAGCCATATTGACTGGAATGGCCCTGGAACGAGAACAATCACCGATAAGAATGTGTGCGCAGCGTACTGAGAACAACTTACCGCAGCATGGTCGGGCTGAGCCCGCGAAAGAAGACTCTAGCCCCACCTGTGCGATATGAATGCTGGATCGTTGATAAGGTTGTGCGATACGGGTTATCGCCTGTAGTCACTTCCGACCGCATTATGTTTCGGGCTTCTACAGCCTCGGTACTCTGCATGCGCGTCTTTACAACGTCCATAGGAAATGTCGGAAGCCAACCAAGGACACCTGCCACTCCTCCACTGACAAACAACACCCAAAGGGGTATGGATCCTTGGCTTGAGTCTGACAGCGAGGTGGAACCATCAAGTCTAGGAGAAGGAGCAGTGAGGTATCTACTCGTAGCCTCATACTTCCCGGTGGACGTCAAACCATGGTAAAGGGGCTATGAGGGCTCTTACCCCCCAAAAGTATGCACCATATCCGCAATCGCGAAAGGCTGTAGCGGTGAGACCACGAAATAATCCCTTGAGACCGTGTTCGCGATGGATACTGTATATAAGTTTGCTGACTGAGATGCTTCCCAGTCCGCTCTCTAACATGCTTTGCTGCCTGATCTTAATAAGTTCGATAGGTGCAGAAAAAAATCTGATGCGTCCATTTGGTTAGCCGCCTGCCGATTACATCTGCAATGGTAGGTGGAGCGCTTACGACATGGCGAAGCCACAGCAGGTGCCAGCAATTGCAACTTCGGTGAGCGATGGAATAGAATCATCCACCTTTTGCGCCTTAAGGAAAAACTTGTAGGACGCGAATACGAGGCCGTTCGTAAACGCACATGTTGCCTTTATTCGTCGGGTAAGCCAGGATCATAGCATTTGTGCGAGAGAAAAAACCAGAGGTGAAGCAATGCCCTTGTACAAGCCACTGAAGCGCTCCTCTCTGATGATGGTCGCGAACGCATGGGATACTGAATGGTATCTGGAGGATAGATCAGGATTTTGTAGGCGGACTTTGACTATTTCGCAGTCAGGTAATGCCGCGGCGCTACGGAATTCATGCCCAAACATACCTGTATCAAACGGATGAGCAATGAGAAGGCCGACAATTCCTGGAAAGTTCAAGCTATCAAAACCGATAGCCATTCAAGTTCATGACTGTGAATTTTCTACCTGCTGCTGTGCCTGCTATGAAGTCAGTCGTGGGGTCAAGGTCTACTGTTGCCATCGTGAGCAGGAATTGTTTCGATATCAATACGGGGCTCACAGCACCTGGCATATCAACGCGTTTGAGCAACCGCAATGTTGCAACTTGCAAGGCTTCCGGAACGAGCTATCTCGGCCGCGAAGAGGTAACCCGGATCAATATAGTTGCCGTAAGCATAGATCTAAATTTTAGACTTGGTCTCGGCTAGCTCGTTTATCTCAACTCTCACGGTGTCGAACGCCCATTGCTAACAACATGTGCGAGAATGCTTCACTTGCAAAACTCGAGTGACTCTCGTCTCGCCCATTCTGGATCCGCAAATGCCCAATATCGAGTTTCGTGATGTACTTGACTGTTGTATTTGACGAGTGAACGACCTTGGTTTACCCATCCAGATTCTGATCCATTCAGCTCTTGCAGTGGGGCCCGATGATGTATTGTTGGAAAGAAGGGAATCAGGGGACTTGGCGCGTGAGTGTCGTTTATAATTAGAGTCTTTGCCTTGAATTAATTGTTTGATTTGGTATGCTACCAGACATGGACATCGTGACTCCTGAGTTTCTCACCGAACTACAGTCGATGGTGACTGTTTTCTCGCTACCATAACGTTCAGCTCGAGAAACTGTCCCGGAGTCATTCCATATATTGTCCTTTATGTTCTCGACGTTCTCGACAAGTTCCCTGATACCTCGGATGAAGATCTCAGGTTGCTCATGCGGAAGATAAGGGATGATATATTTAAGTCTGGCTTCATCTCAAAGTTGATACCACATCCTCGTTGACGTTAGTGATCTTACAATTTGCTCACTGTCTCTAGGTCTACGATGCTCTTGTGCCTCTGCGGTCAGTATGCGAGTTTTCCTGAATCGTCTCTTCCTCACTTGTATGACAGCGACTCTACTCGATCGAAAGAGCTTGGTCAGGCATATTCCGATTCAACATACGGTGATACAGCACCGAAAACTCAATACATATACCCGGGTCTCGATATGTTCGCATGACATACTTCTGCCAATCAACTCCTGGATTTGGATACCCGTAGAACAATTTTGGATACGGCTATGGTATTCCTTCATGGGAGTGACTTCAGCTAAGGAGACATCATTTGCCATGATTCCTGGATCCCGAATGGCACGCCTTGTCAGGTTGAATGGATAGAGCGGTGTATCCGCGACTGTGTGCCTGCGTGGCAACTTGGGTAAGCAACAAAGCCTGAGTGACTAAGCTACGGTGCTATTCGGCTGCCTCCCTCGCCGGGCCCCCTACTCCAATAGTATTGAATTTGATGACTATCCTCTTTCAGCCTTCTAAACTTGTTCTGAACTTCTACTAGCGCACACATGATGCCGTGGGACCCAAGCAAGGTAACTAGCTACAAGTTGCAAGAGTCTTGTTTTTTTTCATCGGTCAGAGGTTAGGTCAACGTTGTCACGAGAATCTTCAATCCGCTCAGCTGACATCCAAGTTCAAATAGTTTTACCAGTCCGTCTATTGACAATTTGCTTCATAAACGGGCTGGTTGCGAGTCCAATATTTGAGGACCCGTATCACCGTAGTGAATCAGGTGTCGGCCCGCACTCCTAACTGCAGGTCACTATCGCCATATTAGACACCGAATCGGACACGCACAGTTCACCAGACCAATTCAGACGCACGTTCTATGTCGATTGGACATCTAATTTCCGTTCCTACTATCTTATTCCATCCCACTTGATATCGTGATGATGGAGACTTTGATCACGAGTTCCAACTATGCCGCTGGCGTCGTCGTAGCCGCAGACTAGTCGTAGTTGCCTTCCCGGATCAGGTTTCAATCCTCGGCGTTGGCTTGATTCAGAAGGCCACCTCAAGGACAATATGAAATTCATCGTTTATGGCTTTGGTAGACGGTAAGG